AGAAAGGAAACACTTTAAACAACTTTTTTCCCTTTTTCAGCAAGACAGTTTTGGCACTGGAAGTCACAGGTGAGTCCAAACAATAAGCAAATAGCTGCTGAACAGAACAATCTCAATGTTAAGAAGAAGTCTTTACCGTGTCCAAGAAACTAGTTGATGAGGATTCAGAGCTGATCGGCACAGTCTCACACACAAAAAGACGAGGTTCACTCTCATCCCAGAAGTGAGACACAGGGCAGCGACTGCTGAGCTCTGTCATCTGAAACTGCTGCCTGAAACACACAGCAGGCATTCTTCACAGTTAGAGAAGTAGAGGAGAGAGTTATATTCGGGCAGTTTAAAAAAAGATGATATTTGTTACCTTTCACTTTCTTCTGGTTGTGAGATACCACTGGGTGGTCTGCCGATGAAGAAATCAAAATGTGTCACAGTGTCCATCTCAACGTCATAGAAGTACACTTTGTGATCAGGCCGTCCATTCACCTGAGAAGAAGAGTTACAAGAAGATTACTCCAGACTAGAGGAAAGAAGCGCATTTTATGGTACTGAAAAAACGCGTTCAATGCTTTTGTTTTCTATCACATAATATAGTATCATGTTTTAAGAGAGGAGAGTGCAATATTGTTTATTCACCTGAGAGATTAGGATGCTGATTTGGCTGCCGTTCGCGTTACATTTGACCGACCTCAGAGCACCCAGATTGGAAATCTGCTCAGCTAGGTTCTTAGCATTGCAGTGTGCCTTGGCATCTCTACAAACACATGCAGTGGCCAAAAAGTTACTTTGAACAGCCAGTAACAAATACCTCCAATACATGAAAGTAAACTAGCATTCCTTCACACTACTGTTTTACATAGAGCGAGTGACACCAACTTGACCCTTATACCTTCGTGAGAGGTCAAAGACTCTGATGTGTGCAGTGTCTGTGCCTACCACCAGGTAAGACTGACACACACTGAGTATCACAGGATTACCCTCTGCCTTGGAAAAGGTCAGCAGTTGCTTTACGGTACCCTAAATGAAAGAAAGGTTAAAAAAAAAAAAACATGTTTCAACAACACTCATTTGTGCAAAGGTTTTCCTGTCTCTGTGCTTTGATAGTAGCTTCCAGGCTGGGATGACAAACCTGTGGTGTGCGAATCTGGACTCTGTTGGGTTCCACAGTGTAGAGGTTCTCACCATGTGCAGCTACTACAGGGGAATCACAAGGGAAGGATCCTGATAAATCAACAAGAGGGAAGATAGAGAAGGACAGATGGGTTAGAAAAGCACAAGTTTACAAAATGATCGAGGAGAATGAAATCACTGTAGTTTTTCAAATATCACATGTGTACAAGGTAGTCAGGTCTGATCAGTGGGCTCTTATTGGTGCACCTGTATTATGAAGAGATGTTCCTGAAAGCTCGTACACAGTCACCTGCTTGCCACTCCAGACGGTCACTGAATCCTGTTGATATGACAACACACATCCAAAAACTATGATTTTAACTTCAGCTGTTACTCGTTCAACATACCTTATCCCTTCTTAGCTTGATACTAACCTTGGTAACACACACTCCCTTGATGTGTCTGTCAGACTGGAGAGCCAGATGCACTCCTGCAGGGAATTGGATGATGCTGAGCTGGGTCGGAGTGAGCTGCACTGCTGCCACCTGTTGGCTGAAGTGAGCCGACATCACATGCTCACACAGGATCAGCACTGTGTTTGAGTTGTTGGCTGCCAGCAAATTCTGGCTCGAGCCCCACTGAAATTGAAGAATGTTGTTTTAGTTTCCTTCATCATTTCACATAACTAGCTTGTACCGTTCTAATAAACTATACCTGTAGATGTGTGACATTTCCCTCTACTTCTGTGGGTGTCTGTAGCTTCCACTGGGCCTTGGGATCAGCTCTGCTGCTGTCTGGCTGCACCACCATCCTCCATATTGCTATACGCCCATTGGTAGTACCAGCAGCCAAGATTTCTGCAGAGTTTGTAACATTGAAGAAAAGTAATAAGACTTAAAATGTTGGCAATCAAGACTTTTTATAATGTGTTATTAGTCTACTCAAGGCTTTAGATTACACAAATGTAGTGTGAAAACCAGACACAATATTTTATATTGTTAAAAGTACAAGAAAAATATTTGTAGCTACCTTTTCCTGCACAGTATGAAACACAGTTGATCATCTCTCCTCTCTCAAATCCAAGAGTCTCGTCAAGAGCCAGAACATAGTTGTCATCTCGTTCCAGGTCCCACAACCTAAAGATTTAAGTGGCAAATATTCCTGTTTATAATGGGGCTGTATAAAATGTGTGTGAACAATTTGTTTGTACACTGACCTGATAACAAGTTCTCCTGTAGCTGTGACGAGGAGGCCATTCTCTGTCCAGACAATGTCTACGTTCTGACCAGTCCGGCTACTCAACTTAACCTGTCATACAAAAAATATTTTCACAATTCAAACTAACTTTTAGTTCAAATTGACCTTAAAATCTGACCGGAAATAAATTGTATCTTGGATGATTGTAGTCTACCTTCATTAATTCCTGGGCTCCCCCCTCAGGTCCAAGAGTGTACTGTGATAACATCATGGTCTCTGTGATTACAGCAAGCGCCTCTCTTTTCTCAAGGTAGAAAAGCTTCTTAATTGAACCCTCCAAACTGAGAAGTGTATTTGTCTTACAATGTTCATCCACACAGTGGACTTTACCTGTAATATATTCAAGTTACATAATGTTTCAGATTTTAAAGGTGATATATCTATAGCCACAAAATGGTCTTATTTTGCAGATATCTTATAGGATTGTTATTGATATGAGAATATATAATAATAAATAATACATTCATTATGATTGTCAGAGCTCCCCTTTCTTGAAAAAGGGTTGGTTAAAACTCCTTTCAGACATTTTTTTTTATAAATTCAAGTGGTACTATATCGCCAAAGTGGGCTTACTGATTTTTCTAGTTTGAACAAAAACACACAAAAAAAACGATTACCTCCGAAAACAAAAAGGTGTGCTCTTACCATCTGCAGTGCTGACATAGAATGCAAGTCCCTCCTGTGGGCCCATCTTGAGAGGTGCTCCCTTCCAGCTGAACATGTCCAGAGCACTCTCATCTCCACTCACAGATGCCCGGGCTAGCTTTGCCACATCGCTGTAGCATAAGTCAGATCATATGATTAGCAAACACTCTTTAGATCAAAACAGCTTGATGATATCCATTTTTTTCCAATAGTATCTCACTGAAGACACTTTAAAAGATGAAGCATTTCTTCTTGTTAACTTACTCTCCAGGTGAAGCTGGTCTGAAGATGCAGCAAGTTAGAGGTTTGTTGTATTCATGTTTTACAAGATGGTTTCCCTGAAGTCTCCCTCGAGCATCCACTTTCCACACTGCTAGAGCTCCAGTCTGTCATTAAATAATTACATTTAATTGATGTGGTTTAATGTGATGAATCTGATGTTTAAATTGTTTCAGAATGTAACTGTTCACACATTCAATCCATTTTATGTCTTGATTACCCTATTAAGATATGTGACAAATGTTCAACAAGCCTTGGTCCCAGTAGTAGATGCTATGCTATGAATGTATCAGGGTCATGTGCATATGTGCAAGGAAATACAGTCCATGCAACGCACTCACATGATCACCAGTTACCAAGCGGCTGCCAGAGCTACTCCACTCCAGCAGAGTGATGAAGTCTGTGTGTGTGCTGGGAAGGACTGTTTGATCTCCAGAGGGGTGCGTCAGCAGAACCACCTCTCCGTTCTCCCAGCCGAGTGCCAACACTGGTTTTGTGGGATGCCAGCGCAGCACTGTGGGCAGGTAAGGACGCTCTAAATGGCAGCTCTCCACATACTCTCCCTGAAAATGGACAGCAATGAAATATCCAAAGTTCAAAAGTATGCTGTGATTGATAATATGTTCACACAGTGGATATTACTAATATATTAAGTGTTTTTCTTTATGTGTCAGTGTTTACCTGTTGCAGGTAGAAGTCTATGTGACCTCCAGTGGCGGGGCTGCTTGAAGCCACAGCCAGTAAAGGAAGAGCAGTGTGCCAGGTCAATTGAGAGGGCACTCCACTGCTTTCAGGGGCATCAATACGGTGGTCAAAATACACCGCCATGTCCCCACTGCTCCCCTCTACAAAAAGAAAAAGAGAGTAACATGACATGAAAGTAAACGTTAGGTTGAACCTAATTTATTATACATGATTATTATACATTTTTTAAATTGCAAATTACATTTTAGAGCCCCCAATACAGATAACTGACTGTATGGCTATTTCGTGTTGTAAAACTTGGAAATCACTTATCAACTCCTTGAACGTGCCCTCAAATAGCATTCAGTGTTTATCTTTCTATTATTTCACTTTCCATACACACTAGTCAGCTACGCTACTGTCCTGCCTGCCATGGATACATAATGAAGACTAAAATAAGTTAATGGTTAGTTATTCTACGTAGAACTATGCACGACAATAAAAGTTGTAGTATTATGTAACAATTATTAAGTTAGCTTTAGCCGCTAACATTGGCTAAGCTACCCTAGTTTTGCTAGCCATAGTTAGCATACATTGCTGGCCCTCGCTACCGTCAAATGAAGTTAGCATTTTTGTTAAATAGTCAGAGGACCAACCTCACTGTATTTTCCGTTTGGGAAATGCTTTCTTAGTTGTTCAATCCCGAAGTTAATAGATATAACGACCGTAACGTTCAGTGTTGTAGTGTAGCCTCCAGTGACTGAAAAGCGTCTCTCACAGTTGCCCCTGACAACCTCGAGGCTGGACAGGGGGAGGAGTAACGGAAAAATACGAGCACAACCCGAGTTGTTATCGAAGCTGCTGTTACATTGGAAGCAACATTTATTACGGTCAATGTTTTTCCTTTTTAAAGGGATTTAAAAAGAAAACACCAATAGGTCGTTGTAACGTTTACCAAACGTTGGTATTCAGCAGAAATTCAGAAGCTAGCAGTACACTTAATAAATCTATATAGTTTCACACCAACATCACAATCTCTGATTTGTTTATTTTGGATACATGTGCAGTTTTATCAAAGGATAAATGTGTGTAATAGATGTGTTTGATTCACAGAATGACACAGAATGGCTCAACGTTTTGTAGCTGAGTAGAGACCTGAAATCATTAGGTGGATAAGGTCTGGAACAATAGCACAAAAGTGTCATTAAAAAAGTCTATTTTATCGATAATCTAATGTGACCAAATAAAGTCCCATCCAAATGAAAACTATAAACAATTGTATTTCAAAAATATATGAACAAAAATGTTGAAGAGGAAGTAGTACTAGTAATAGTACTGGTAGATTTTCTGTAAGGGTGCATGTGAATATTCACAGGATGTCCTTAGCAAACAAACAAACACAGGACAGAGAGATGTGCAGTACAGGAAAAGGATATCCTCATAAAAATACAGTTTATTGGCAGACCAAAATGGTACCCTATCCTCCATTCAATCAATTTTCAGGTCAGGTTCATAAATAATACACAATACTTTCATCCTCACAATACAGTGCAAGGGAATGTAAGGATGTGCATGTTGTAGACAGATTTGAAGAAGAAGCTAAATAAGATCAGCTGGTGTAATGTGTGTTTAAACAAATGAAACAAACAAAAGAGTCCAATATCAGTAACATCATTTGCATCAACTCTAACACACTCATCTCCAGGCTCTGTGAGGATCAGGTGTAGAACATGGTCAATATTTTAGGATTCAAGACTCAGTGCTTGTGGGTCTTGTAGCTGTTTTTTCAGGCTCTTGTCCATCAGAACCAGACTCTGTATAGCCAGACTCCGACAGTCTGCATCAGGGTCTCCTTCAGCCACATCTGTAGATATTTATAACACAAAAAGACAATAAGAACTTTGGTCAAATATGCTCAGAGAACATCTCCAAGTATCATTTCAAAAGCAGAGTCACATTCTAACAATCAGAATCAGAATCAGCTTTATTGGCCAGGAGTGCTTACTCACACAAGACTTGATTTGACTTTGGTGAACTGAGCTCTCTATGTACAAAAGTAAAACATTAAATATCAACAATAAACACAAAGTAAGCAAAGCCTGATATGTACAAGACTAAATAAGACAATAGTTCAAAATGCTGAATAAGCATGATAATAGAATATGTCATTCTGTAACAGATGAGTTAATTTACATGAGGTAGAGAGTTTTTAAAGTATTTACATGATGAAGTTAATGACCATAAAATGAATATTTTAATCATCCGACAATGTGTCCACTGCACCATAACACTCGCTGCCATGTGAAGCTTTTTTTATCCCCCTTATCTTTTTTTTTGCGGAGGAGCCGGTCACGTCATGTACAGTCTGAGCAGTACAGGACATCCTGGTTCCTCATCTAATTCCCAGAAATGCTGGGTCCAGCTGTGTGTGTGTGTGTGTGTGTGTGTGTGTGTTCTACATGTTTGTCTGTCACTGAGGGAAAAATCCCGGACAGAATTACTGCAGGTGCAGCCTCAAACATCTGTGCATTTATAGGAATCGAGATGTTTATGAAAGAAGAAACCTTTAACATTAACAGTTTGTTGGGTTTTCTAAGTTAAATTCTAATCTATGAAAATACGGCCCCGTTATAACACACCTGAAACAGATGCCCTGCTTTTCCTTGCATATATAAACATGTATATTCCATGAAAATATAATGTAAATAAACATACAAAAACATGTATAAAAAGTATAAATATAATTTATTAAAAAAAAAAAAAAATTCCATAATATTTTTCCAAAGAATATACATGTTTATGGCAGAGATTCAAGAGAAGGTTTTCTTTCTTTTTTACCTGCCAGCCACATTCTGGTCTCAAACAGCTGATCACTCAGGTCCACCAGCAGGTTCTGACTGTTCACGCTCAGAAACACGGAGCAGACAGCGAAGAGGACGCCTCGTCTCACCATCCTTTATCACACAGATTGCATGTTAACAACTTGTGTTGGAATAACTTAACATTCAGTGCAGAATGTGGCGGTCTATCAGGGTGTGTTGTTTTAATGTTAGCTGGTGTAGCCTGCATTAATAACATTAAAAAAACACATGCTGTTGGGGAGAGATTTTACAGTTTGCTTGTGTTGATAATCAAAGGTCTGGTTAGTAGCAGGAAAAGTACATTTTAAATTGATGTTAGGAACCACACAGATTCTCTATAACACTCAGTTATCATACTCACATGTCGACATGGTAGCGCAGAGCCCACACAAAGTCCAGTAAGGCTCGACCCATCTGTGCAGCTATCTGCATGAAAAAAACAATTGAAAAGTAAATCCTACAAGACCCAGAGGCAGAGCTTGAAAATATGCTTTAAACTTCTTATTCTTTGTCATTTTAACTTCACATCGACATAACTGTTTTTGGATTATCTTGTTTTAATAATGTGATAAAGGGGGGCAGTATGTGATATCAGACTGCATCAAGACTAACCCCTAAACAACAGACAGATTGCATAAAGTACCGGTGCATTGGCTGCCAGGTGCATGAAGAGGCCCAATGTGTGGATCAACCTGCCCAGCACCAGATGGTCACTGCCCAACAGGTCAAAGGTCACCTGAGGCCTAGTAGAAAGAACTTTTATTTCAAAATGTTCTGATGTATTAAAACACAAATCTGACTTTTATGACAACAATACTTACTTGTCATAATTACACAGCAGAGGGAAAAAGAAGTGTCCAGCAACAGGCGTGTAGCGGTTGGGGATGGCCTTAGCTGGAGGCCTTGGGACACCCTGTAGAAAAAGAGAAATGACATCTGAACTCAAACATCAAAAAGGCAGAGTAAAAAGTGTCCATGCTTTACCTACCTTACTAAGGCGTCTTGTCTTGCTTTGAATCCGCTTCTCTACTTCCTGTCTCCAGTGAACAGGGTTGTCTCCGGGGTATGGAGTCAAATCTGTGCTGGCAGAGATACTCATGGAAGAATCTCTTGTTTCAGTAATCGGCTTGGAGAGCTCCTGCGCTGCCAGAGCAAGAACCTGATAAAAAACATGATCAGCTTAATTACTGACTTATCATATCAATTCTTTGTATAAAAAAGAAGAAGATTCATATTCAAACCTCCAAGATATCGAGCCGCTGGCGCAGACTGTAGTTCAAGGAGTAAAACTCAGTGGTCAAATACTGGGTCACCTATGAAGGAAAACACAGATGAAAGTGGAATACATCTATGTGGTAAACAAACAACAGAAATGTTGACATGAAAAGATTTAGGGAGTTAAAAGTGAGGTAAAGATCATACGGGGATAGTGTCAGTGACAGCGAGTGCCACCATGGTCGCCTGTCTGAGACTCATGAAGCCCCTTATGCTGTATTTATCCTCCATGTGAAGAAACACTTTGCTCAGCTGGACACTGATCTGAAAAGGTTGAAAATAAAGCAACTGTAGTTTAAAAAAAATAATAATATAAAAGAGACCGATATTTGGATAGTCACTAATAAGGCTGTAAGTATTATTTGTTCTGTTATACATGAATATGCAAATGACTTTACAATAAACTGGTTAATTGTTTAGTCTAAATATAATGTTACATATTCAAAAGTCTACTTCTTATCCTTTTTTAAAAACACAGGTATAATACTTAAAGGTCCAATATGTAAGATATCTACTGAATGAAATCATAAAATCACCTTACTTTATCAGACAATAAGGAAACATGATTGAGACTGTTTAATCAGACTCTTTAACAGCATCTCCACTCATAACAACAATGCTACACACTGTGTGTGTTTTTAATAACAATAACTCTTTCCACAAGTGGAAGTGTACATACTTGGTATTATTCTATTATTGTATTTTTTCTCCCTTTATTTAACTGATGTACATATGTTTGATTTTTAACTTCTTATTTTTAATAATTATATTCCTATTTCCTGTTTTCTTGAGCTGTTGTAACAAAAACTTTTCCCCCATGGGGATCAATAAAGTTTATCTTTATCTTTATGATATGTTGAAGTGCTGGTTTCAATGTTAACTACGCTAGATTAGATTTCGGTGCAGAATTGTTTGTATTTGTTTTGACCAGACGAGGTAGGCAGTATTAAGGCACCCCCACATGCCCGTTTTGGACTCTCCTCAGTTTGCCAGTCAAACCAACAGGTGTTGCAGCGATGGAAGAGGTCAAGAGAAGTGGTTCAGATAGAAGTGATTGTACCCGACCTAAAAAGCCTCTGCATGTTTCTAATAAGCTCCACGAGCAGAAACGTGCTCAAACTAGGATCAATATTGGAGATGCTTTTGAAAAATGGAGAGAGGTTAGAACACAGAAAGGTTTCATGACTGATGCAGTTACCATTTTAAACACTAGGTGTCAGAGTCACATATTGCTCCTTTTCATTTAGATTTGACAAAAAGCAGCTAATGCTTAAATCTATGCTTCAGGAACCAGCTAATGTTTGGCTTTTTATTTCTTTTATCATCGATTCACTAAAATATGTCAATGACTTTGAATTGATTAAGCAATAAACGGTTGTAGCTTTAGTCATTCACAAAAATAACAAAGTGTAGTTTCAGTAAAGCATGAATCTGAAGCACTCTGTTTTGAGCTGGACGTACCTCTCTGGCTGCAAAGCTGTTCTTCCACACCAAACTCTCAGCAGCTCTTAAACTGAGCTCCACACGCACCGGCTCATCAGAGGAAATTAAATCTGGATCGGTCAGAAGATTAAAAAAAATGATTAGAACAGGAGGGGACAAAACACAGAATGTAAACACAGGGTGAGATGACATGAAGTAATCCGTGCAGCCATACTTTCCAGACAGTCTCGTAGGTAGCGCGGTGGAGATGCTTTGTTCATTTCCTGATCAGCGGACATGTCATAAGGAGTGAGCTCATCATCACTACATCAGAGAAAGACTTATCATTATCAACCCCCTTCTCTACTTCTTTTAGCACTAATACAATCTCACAAATACATTTTATGTTCAGAACCACTGAATTAGCAAAAGAGCAAATACTGACCTGTCCAAGTCGGAGTCTGGAGCCGGTTTTGAAGCCTCTCTCTGAGCAGAGGGCGTTGTCTCGCTGGTGTCTTGTGGAGAGTCGATTCTGGGGATAACAGAAATCTCTGAGTGATCTAAGTCATCCTTTGTCTGAGGATTTTAAGTTGATGCCGTCAGGCCGCAGATTCAGTCTGCCAGCATACAGGACAAAGAGGATGAGAAACTCATTTGTTCCTGCTGCCATCACCTTTTTAAACAACTGACTGTGTTGCCTCTGTTTCTTATCTACTGTATTTATTTATTGTCCATTCTATGTTGTTTGCTGATTGCGGGCTGTATGTATTTATGTGTTTTATTGCTGACTGCAAAACAAATTGCCCTCTCGCAGGGATAATAAAGACAACCTTGAACCTTGAGTAAAAACAAAGCCTTTGTTTATAAACAGTGAAAACAGTTCATGGGATTTGACATAGTAATTGCCAAGATTAAAAACACAAAGATTATTGTAGTCTAAAGATTAAAACATTGAATTGTGCTTGATCTGTGTACATTTGCATATGCAGAGAGAAAGAAATTATTAATTTGTGTTAAAAATCTTTAATGTGGTTTTGGTTTAATCATTTGTTTTTTTTGTCTTTGCTATAGATCAGATAGCAGAGTCCACAATCTTACTATGACATTAGCAGATGTAGCTACATGTATGAAGCCTCAAGGTAACAGTTAAAGTGATGTAACATACCTGTTCACGGGCTCAGCTTCTGGTTCCTCACCACTCAACGGAGTCATCAGTGAGAGCAGCTCCTTTGTTTCCTCATCCTGATCATACTGAAACACAGCACAATACAAACTCAGATTGCTTTTCAATCAGGTGCTGAATCAGATGTTTGGAATCCTAGAAGGCTGCTGCTGTCACAGCTGATGGCAGCTGATGTGCAACAAAGACTGTACCTCAAACTTGAGTTCAGCTCCACTGATGTCCATGCGAGAACTCAGGCACTCTCCCACCACCATGCCCATGTGCCTGATCCGCACCACGCTGCTGTCCAGGTGGCTCTGCATGCCGCCCAGCATACACTGAAGTAAGTCTGAGAAGAGAGGCACACAACACAGACAGCAACTGAAATACTCATTCTTTTTTAAAACTCTTTTTTTTGTCTGTCTGTTAGTTACTTTTTTTCAGTTCAGTAGCAATGTAATGCTAATCAGTATGCAAAACACCTGAAGGTGATAATAGTTTTCTTTAAGTGATACATGATACACTAATTATAATAATGCATATTTTGTTATTTTTATTTTTTACATTTTTATTTATTTACATATATTTTAATAGTCCTGCTTTATTCCTGTATTTAATTTATCTTAATTATAATTTTTGTTTGTCAGGTCTGTTGTTTTTTTTTTCTGTTTGTCTTTTTTTCTGTCTTGCATTGATAGTGTTACCCTTGTTGGGTATTGTTCTATATCATTTATTGTCTTGTATTGTACTGTTGTAAAACCTTTGAAAACAATAAAAATGTTGGTCATAAAAACACAGTGAACAACCTTATAACTGTACCTGATCTTAGCTCCTGCAGCTCCGAGTCGTTGAGCAGACTCACACTCAGCAATAAGGCCTTGCTCACATACAGCTGCTGCTCTAAAGGTGTGTGTTTCACTGCACTGGGGTTAGCCCAGGCCTGAGACACACACCTTAACACCTGAGAACACACACATGTGTACATGTCAAAATGAACAATACATATAATACACCGTGATGTCATTTTGCCTGTTCAACATCCTGATGTCCTCACCTGGATGAGCAGTGGGCGTCGCTCCTTATCAGCTGCCAGGTAACCCAGAATAATCCTCAAGACTCGAGTCTGGAGACAAACAATCAAATGTTTAAAATATTAAAGAGAGAAGTAGTTTACTGTGAGGCTGCAGGACTTCTCCTTACCTCATATTTGTACTGTAATAACAGCAGCTTGTGAGTGATGACAAACTGAGCCTTTTTGTTTGTTAACACTAGATTACCAATGACTCTGCCCAAAGCTTCAGGCCTGAAACAAAAAAGACTGGTGTCATTCAAAGGAAGAGAGAAGACAGGCTGGAAATCTGCAAGGATGAATCTCTCGTTACCCACTGACAGCCTGCACAAGAGCAGTCAGCACGCTCTCTGACCATCGCTGTGGAACGTTCTCAAACAGCTTCCAGCACACTCTCTGCCACACCATGTCTGAGCTGGTGTAGACGGCGAGCTGAGGAGCCAGCACGGCCAGCACCGAACCTGCAGAGGAGGAGGACATGACAGAAGGATCACAGAGATTCCTTTACAGAACATTTACAGACATTACAGAACATTTACAGACATTATCTTCTGATTAAAATGTCCTTCTTTACATTTCCTTTTTTTTCTCACTAGAAGCGGAAATCATTTGGACCATAGTTTTTCCTCAAATATCAATCTGTCAATAATAGTACACCAACATTTGTAATGTATGCATGGAAGTTAACAGTGGAAGATATTAAAGAAATGGAAAGAATTACGTATAAGCTAAGAAACAGAGAAGATGAATTCATTTGTTACTGGAGTAAATGGATAAAGGAAACAGATAAAGTGGAATAATAACAGGTATGTAAATTAAATTATATTAAATTAAGAGAGTAGCGAAGGAACAAACCCCCTCCCCCTGCTCCATTCTATTTACGGTTTTATTTGTATTTTATTATCATTTGTATTTTTTATCATTATTAGTATTATTATTTCTTTATTTTTATTTTTTTTCTAAATCTTAATTTAATTATAATTTTCTCTTCGTACCCTGTCCTCTGATTTGTATTTATTTTATTTTATTTCATGTATGTATTCTTGTATGTAATAATAAAAATATATATATAAAAATGTGCCAGGATGAACAAAATATGTGATGAAATATGACAACTTGTAATGTAGTAAAATAGCCTGCAATAAAGTATTTAAAAAAAAACATTTGTAATGTGATGAATGTGTTCAAAGGAGACTTGCAGCAGCAAGATTTTGGCTTATTAAGTATTCCCTTGATGCTTGTTCTTCTCATTTTCTAATTAATTGTTGGTGTCTGACATTTCAGGAAATTTTTAAATATCATCATTTCACAGAGCAGAGCAGAGGATGAGCGTGAGCTGAGAATAAGGACCTATGATTGGACACTTAGAATGATTATTAAGGACTATGTGATGATCAAAATGTGCCCATGATAAATTCCTTAACAATGGAAATATATTTATTGTTACGTATCTAACCACTTAGAAATTCCAATCAGTAGAAGAGGTGAAGCTTGATGTGTGAAGGTGGCAACATGTGAGGGAAAACAGCATTAAGAAAACAGATTTATATACAATAATGTATGAAATGACTCACCACTATGACCCTGGATACACACTTTTCCAAGTGTCTCAGCCACAAATGTTAAGGAGCAATCAGTGCCATCTGTTCAGAATAAATGACAGATGAGAAAAGAGATTATTCTTGATGTAATGAACCTTTGACACAGGCTGTATGTTGTGATGATGTCAGCTCACCTTTAAGTGCTCGGCACGTCCTCTCCAGAGCGGTGAGAATCTCTGAGGCCAGTAGAGGATAATACTGCTGAGGGAGAAAGAGAGGCTTGGTGTTCAGATGCAACCTGTTGGCCGTGAGGTCCGGTAAAGAAACAAGACGACCCAGCAGAGTTTCTCTGAGCTGAGGGGTGTCAGAGGGAGCGCTGTGCACACAGTAGGACCACAGCAGGTCAGCGAGACGATGGATCTGAAGGAACCTCTCTGTGATGCTGACCAAGTGGTCCAGACTAGCACTGGCTCTGCAATGGAGAGGGGAAAAAAACAGTTAGTGAGCAGATGAAATGATGAATATCCTTTATCATCCCTTCTTTAACACCACCAACCTTAGCTCTCCTATCCCATCCATCAGCACAAGCAGCGTCTGCTCTGGAGGGCCTCTGAGGAACAGTCCGTCCCACAGATCTGTGCGCTGAGCTTCTGTGAGGCTGTGAAACCAGTCAGCCTGGATGCTGTTGACCAGGAACTGAAGGGTGCGAGTGAAGTGAGCTCTCCTGAACTCCACACGCTGAACTGAAGTGATCTTGTTTCCTGGTCTTTCATCCAAGTAAGAGTGAAGTGTGTGCAGAGCGTTGATTGTGTCTTTGGTATTAGTGGATGAAGTGAGGGTCCGGAAACACTGAGCCACTGCCAGGCGAACCTCAGTATGTGGGGTGAGGGACTCCATCTTTGTGATGGGGGACCAACTTGAAATAAAAACTTAAATGGACATCTTATCCCTCACAGGAGGCTGTCTCCCAACGTATTATTACCCACTGTTCACAACAAAGTCCACTGATGACTTGCACTAAAATAACGTATGCTAAGGGGATTAATATATTGTGTTATATTAACTCTCACTTTCTCCTGAAGCTAACCGAAATCAAGCAGCTCACAGCTTGATCGTTAAGGTTTAAAACCTGTTCATGAATTTAGCATAAACATCTCTGTTGTAATAATAGCATGACAGGCGACATCTGTTATCGTCTTTCTAAATTGAAACACAACTGCACACATTTAATCAAACTTAACAGTACGCATTACCTCCTGTACACAAACATTATCTTTAGTTAATGTGATATCAACATATTTATTTCGTTGTAATATCTACTGTCCCTCATGTTACTCAATGTTTTAAATGAGATTTCCCCACCACGTCGTGTTTCCATCCGTGTGATCAGTCAGTGAACACAACAGAGAGGCGGGGCATACGGTATGGCAAGCCCAAAGGACCAAGTGTCGTCACTATGAACGCGTTGTTTTCCATATTTCTCATTTCCAATAGCCTACTGTACATTTCTACAGCTGGTGCAGTGCTACCTGTGTGTATGGGTTTAAAGTGGTCAACTTAATGTGACAGAATAGTTAGTCTATGGACAGAACAAGTGTCCAGAAGTGTTACAAAAAATGTCAGGTTCTTGAATGCTTCACTGCGAAAACTGTCGCCGGAAGCCGAAAGGGCTAAATTACGTCACATTGCAAACGCGTTTCGTCAAAATCAACAAATAAAGCACAAACGACAATTACTCCTGCATCTACGAAAAAGCTAAATTAAGCGAAAAAAATATGAGAGTTTGTTAAAATAATACGGTTTTATATAGCTGCGGAAGCTAAAGTGGGATATAGTCTAGATTGTATTAAGAAGAAAGCAATTACTGACAGATGGTAAAGAAGTATGACAGTTTAAATTAAACTTAGCTCAAATCAGTTTCTCTTTTTTATTTCAATTATTTCATCATTTATATACGGAGCCCCCTAGCCCTAAACCCATGAGCATTCTTTGATGGATACTTTTGCATCACAATACTTAATTCTTCTTCTCCCTCTCCTTCTCGGAAAATTAAAATCTATTTCTCGCCAGCTGCTCCCAAAGCAACGCACCACTATCTCTCAATGTGAATAATAACATCAAAGATAAATAGAAACGCAAAACTAAGAGATCAACTGGAACGCACCGTTGAGGTGAGAAACGCGAAAGTATCACTGCGGTGAAGCCAGCCGCTCCTCGAGTTTACATGGTGAAGTGAGCCGCCCCTAAATTTGAAGTGCTCACGTATTCTGATCTTTATGGTAAATGCTCCAGAGCGAGCAAGAGTAACAGACAGAGAGAGCGAGTCCGTTATTCATCTCCTTTTCCAGGCGAAAGTGATAAATGCAGAAGTCTTATGATAAAACTGACTATAAGATAGACGTGTATGAAACGGGAGCAAACAAAATACTGTTCAGGGAATAGCTTTGCAGGTCGGTGAAATTAGTTTGAGAATAATACTGCGAGTCTGCGGTAACTTCCGTTTTTCAAAATAAGGTGTTTTCCTGGGAAAAAATATAAAAATATATGTTCTTCCATAATTAGACAATGATTCTGATATGGTTGGACTTATTACTTCCTAGACTACGTGCACAAGTAATATTAAGTACTTTTACTGTGTACTTTTTGAGAAATCCCTTGACAAAGTCCCTTATAAATCCCAATGAGTCTTTTTTATGACTTTGATGTCTTGTAAAAATAAGTAGAAAATGATTCTGATATGGTTGGACTTAGTACTTCCTAGACTACATGCACAGGTACTATGAAGGGCTGTTGTGCTGTGTATGTGTTCAACAAACCTCACTGTTGTGAATCATGAATGTTGTGACTGTATATAAATCTGTTTTACAATCAGAAATATCAGATGGCGCATAAACATGGATCACAAATAATGGACTTATGCAGAAAAGTCACCTGAAGAGGGAGAAGCATCTTCATACATTTATAAATAATTCAATTTCAAACCATTCATTATAGAAAATATAGAAACAAATACTAATGGTGGCTTAGTAAAAATCTTTAAACAAATGAGACTCTTTAATGCAGAAGTCAAGATTAATAATGACTAATCATTGTAGCCTTGTGAGAGTACCTGATGACTTTTGAACGTCACTGTTATTAGTTTGAAGAATGTTTGTGTTAAAATCAAAGTTAAGGGTATACATTTATCTAAAATGCATGCAAACACAAAGTACAACTTACAAACAAAAAAATGATGCAACCAAACACAAGGTTATTTTATTCCATTTATTTTTCTATTCTTACTTTCACTGCTTACCTTTTAATTTTCTCTTTTTACAATGACTGAAATTATATTTCCCCCAGTAACAATTAGGATTAGATCATTCGGGGATCTTCAAAAATAATATACAGCTGTAACCAATACTGTGATAATTTATACATTAATCTTTGAAAATAGGAATAAATTTAAGATTCTCTTTTCTACAATATTCTCTTTTTTTAATCTTCCCATGTCACATAATGGCAAGACATGCACTACTGCAGTAGTGATGTTTGTGCCTTGAGCAGACTTTCTTTGGACACTGGAAGTGAGTGTGAAGAGAGGGGAAAAAAAGAAAATCACAAAAATGACAATTCATATTTACAGTTTAGGATTCATCATAATTTAACTGACAGTCACATGGTTAGTGCTTTTCCTTGGGCTCATCATCAGGTTAAGTTTAGAGGCAAAGTTTGAGACACAGAGGCACAGTGTTTAGACTAGCAGGCCTGTTTTTGTTTCCTTTAAAGGCAGGAGTCTCTTGATTTATGAATTAGTAGAGGAGTAAAATGTTCCCAGAAGCATGATAACGGACCCTGATAGATAAAATCACCAGTTTGAAGTTGAAGCATCTGTCTTTGGTCATTTTGAAAGCAGGAGAAATTTGGTTAAAGTGCAATCACGGGAATGTTTTATCAGCTCTGGTCTCAATGTCCAGTTATCGTGTTGCCTGTCCCTGAACCATCTGTCAAAACCCGACACTCAAATTCAAAGCAGGGAGAGAATTAAGTGTAGCACAGCCTGCTGTGTTCAAGTGTCGTCCCATTTCCTCTTTGTAATGGAAAAAAAAAGGAGATTCATCTCTACAAAGAATGCAATACTAAATCTGTTGGGGCAAACCTCCAGTCACACTTAAAGGCAGGATGTGTAAGCCAGCGAGCCCGGGTGTGAGGTTTTAAGTGTTGTGTATTGTTGAAAACTATAACTCTACTAATGGAAATTATAGCAAATGATTTGTCAGTCCAAACACAAGTCTGAATGAGAGATATACAATAAAACGTGTGTTTTTCATGCAGTACCTGACTCCATCTGGGAATACAACAGTAGAACCTGCAGACTCTGCCATGTATCTTCAAAAAAAAAAAAAACACAACCCTGAAGAGGTCACTGCATCGTCAGCATCACGAAAGAGTGCAGCGACCTCGACAAACTACCGTTCTGACTTACAGGGTCACGTCTGAGCTTGTAGGCACAATGCTGACTCCCTACAACACAATATAACATTTCTCTCAGTTCAATCAATCCTCCCGCACATCTAACTTTCCCCTTGTGAATCCAAAAAATGTACATTTTCAGCAGAACAGATCACAGAGTGTGAGTTGTCGTTTGTGTCAAATGATGAATAAATATATCTGCAAGTTATTCAAAACAGGAAACAAAACAAAAAAGAAACCCCAACAGATACTGTACACGCTACATGCTAGAGAAGAATACAGGCAGCTGTCTCTTAGCATAAGACAAGAAGAAGAAATGTCGGTTTCTTCAGACTATAAAAATACCTAGAATCTAGAATGAGTGTAGAAAAAACTTTACATGTACAAGTCATTTACATCCAAGGCCATTTTTTTTTCCTGTGGAGTGGCAGGTGAAGAAGAGCGGAGTGACAGACGTGAAGAGGGTGAACAGTAGGATTTCTTCTGAGCATATTGGTGCAGAACGTCATGCGGTTCAAACAAAAACGTCCCCCCCTCGGTCAAGATTTTCCCGCAACAAGTAAATCCGACACTCGCATCCAATTTCTGAGTCTGAGTCCCAAGTTTTGTGAGATGGCTGCAAGGTACTGGATAAGCACGGCATCAGTCCATTTTTATGTCCATACGTCTTTGAAAAAGCAGATGTGTCCTCCACTAATGTCCACTTCCTCACCAAGCATTATTGCTACCAAGTCCGCCATGTTTCTTCATGTCAGAATAACATCTGGAAACGGATCAAACTGGCCAACAGTCAGCAAAACAGCCCAAAGTAACTCATCATTAAGGCTGAAAAAATACTGTCTCAATGGAAACTAATCTTCAGATGTGGCTGCAATATGTTCTGTAGTACTTTTCAACATTTCCAATTGCGATAAATATTAGCGTTGTATTTGTCTTTTTTACATGAGTGAGATGTCTGCAGCCAGTGGCAACAAAAGCCCTGCACAGTTCACTGCAGGCTCAAAACCATCTTTGTTTCCAATTTGATCCCTTCACAATAAACAAAAAATGAAATCAAAACAAAACTTAGTGCAAAGTACAACAATCTGATTACTCACAAATGTCAGCATTCTTCAGTTTCAACACCTTTTTTTTTTTATGACAAAAAATCATTTGTGCAGCGGAGAAAAAAAATTAAGTTACCTGGATACGCTTGCTCCCCATCACTTTCACTCAGCAAGAGAACACTGGAAACAGGTGGGCTGTACGTAACCACACAAAAAACTACATTTCCCAGAATCACTCATTAGTTTCCCTTCATTTGTAGTTTCAAGTGTTTGCAGAGTTTTTAAAGTGAACTTGTGAGTATAAACAGGTTTTTTTTTGTCAGTTATAGCACCCCATCTAAATATAGTGAGATATGTTTGAGTTATCTAACATTTGTGCCAGGGAGTGATGGGAAATGTATAATTTTTTTAGTCATCGGAGGTTTCTAGCCCACCTGAGCTCCAGGACCCTGTTTCATTGCAAAACAGAAAAAAACAAGGTAACAATATGACAAGATGAACTATAAACCAACCAGTTCCTTCTTTTTTTTTTGACATTGAAGCTTATATTTCTCCTTCTAATGTTACCAAAGATTTTTTTAAAACCTTGGCGTAACATATAGCAAAAAAAAAAAAACGAAGACACCTCACAAACACACTGAAAAAACCCTTCAGGTATTTCTCATCCTCAATCCCAAGAAATGTCCCTCACTTAGGTTCGCTGGAAAGATGATGGAACGTGTTTAAAGGAGAGCACACACTGAAAGGGGCACAGCAAGCTTTCAGCACATTAACAAATTCAAGAGAGAGACTGCAGCTGGGATCTCCTGACCACAACTTCATACGGCTTTCTCACGACTCAGCCTGGTTCAGAAGATCACAGCCCGCCATCCCACATCTGAGGCATGTGTGGCGTATGGTATAATTAATGAATACTTTGATCACCTTTTTTTAAGGCCTTTTTGGTTACTGTATACATGTCTGATTATGTTTTAGCTCGATCAAACATCGATGATTTTCTTTCGGGGACTCTTGATGATACTGACCTCTTGAGCACATTCACACACTCACTCACTCACTCAGCACAGTAGACTCGGGTCCCTCTAGCCAAATACATGGAAGTCACCAGAACCCGAGTGTGCACATACACTCACAGATAAGCACAGACTTGAGGAATATCAGACAAAAAAAATATATTTCTTCACCCACAGCCACTGGCTTCTTAGAAATCTGAAATCCTTCCATTAGGGGGAACAGTGTTTTTCTTTTCCGACCAAAGTGATAATTTTACATCTTCTCTTGGTAACTCTTATTAAAGCCAAGTCTCCAATATATTTAACGGCCCGAGGAGTCACTGTGTGCGTAGACAATCTGTCTGCATGGTGTCTATTTGACCTCTAAGATGGAGGGGTTGCACTCCATGATGGCCACGATGATTTTGTCGATGTAGTCCTGGAGCCTGTAGTTGATCTCCTCCTGTTTGTGGACAGTCTCCATCAGCTGGAAACAGGGACATAGAAGTCAGTGCAGAACAGAAAAACCTACGTATAGGTTTAAAATAATATATATATATTCTCCCTGTTTTCTAAACCTACCTCTACACGAGACACAGAGTTGATCTCAGCTGCCAGGGAGTCTGAGAAGGGGGCCGACATCAGGTTCTTTGCTCCCTGGATGCTCAGGTTGATAATCTGGCCGTTCAACTCGTCGTTCTGTTCCTTCAGGCTACGGTTGTCCTGGACAACAGTCAAAAAGTAAAACAATCAGTAAACAGCACAGGACCGATCCTGAGAAACCCTTGATTTCCAAACAGTCTGGTTAGAGTTACAGATGAAGAGAAGGCTGCAGAAATAAGTGGGGAATCAATCAATTTTTATTTGTATAGCGTCAACTCATAACAAGTGTTATCTGGAGACACTTTACAAAAAGCAGGTAAAAGACCTTACTCATTGTTATGTTACAAAAAGCAGGTAAAAGACCTTACTCATTGTTATGTTACAAAAAGCAGGTAAAAGACCTTACTTATTGTTATATTACAAAGATCTGGCCTATCCATCATGAGCACTTTAGCCAAACAGCAAAAGTTACAGTGGTAAGAAAAAACTGCCTTATTAAAAGACAGAAATCTTCGACTGGATCCCCGGCTCTTGATGAAACAGCCTTCACAGGACTAGACTGCACCGGGAAGAAAATTGAGGATAGTTTAAATCATTGCATTACCTGTTTGAGTCGTTTGATCTCCTGCTCAAGCTCCGCCTCACGAGTGCGGGTCTGATATTCCTGTAGCCCTGCACCAGGTGTTCGGCCTTTTTTTGCTTCTGCCTCTAGCTTGTACAGCTGTAGGTGCTCGAGCTGTTTACGCAAGTCTTCAATGAGCTGTGGGGTCAAACAAAAGCAGACATGGTTCAGAGAGGCATTTGATTCTGAGACATGAAAGTGATGCCTAAATGTACCCTGTATGGTTATATTTTGTACACAGAGTCCTGTTTGTTTTGTACACAGAGAAGCAAAGCCTGACCTCCTGGGTGCTCTCCTTCTCCTTCTGGCTCTGATGGCGCTCGTGGCTCAGCTTGTCGGCCATCTTTCTGCGGGACTCGGTCTCCTCCTGCAGCCTGTCCGACATAGCTTCTGTCTCATCCTGCAGCTTCTGCTTCTCCTGAAATATAAACCATACAAAGATGGTGAGCATAAAGTGGATTGTCACTTAGGATAAGTTAAAAAATGAATCTTATGAAAAAGAATATGTTAGAAGCATGAGATGAGATCTTATCGCCCTCACCTCCTCTAGTCTCTCAATGTTTGCTCGCAGACAGGGAACACATGACCTCAGCTCGCTGTTCTCCTCATCCAGCTGCTGCACCCTGAGATCAAACACAAACACAAATCCTTAGGTGGACAAACATAAATAAAAAACCACAGCTTTACAACATCTGCACATTTTGTTGACATTAAACAAAGCTGTACAGCAGAAAAACAGCTCACATTCAGTGGCAACCTAGTGCCATAGGGTGGCAGTGTAGAGCAGCATTTGAACTTACAAACAACATGTCAAAACCTTGTTTCACATTTTAAAAATATGTTTTTACTACTCTGTTAAATCTACTACAAATATAGCCAGAGGGAAGAAATATTTGAATTGAATGTATTAAAGGATAGCCTCTTGAGATGCAGCATCTCATTTTCAAGACGGTCCTAACATAAACACAGACTCATATTCTAACATACAAACATCGTCTTGACAAACATGGACAACGATTTCACAAATAAAGACATTTCTCTCTCTACCCCTCCCACCCAGCCCCAGCTCTCAGCTCATCAACAAGGCCTTATTGACAAATAGTCCAACAGTAGAAAGAGCAATGACAAAGCTCTTCATGTTTAGGTAAGAAAACTGATGATTCAAAGACAACAGAAACGAGAACAGGTTGTTTTAAGATAAGACAATACATTTGACCAGAAGCAGTGGAGGGAAGTGATTCCAATCAGATGGAGCTTTGTATTTAAATGACCTGTGACTGATTTCTTTATCAATTCTGGGAACAATGAAAAAGGAATGGTCCATATGTCAAAGAACTGTTTCTGAAAAATTAACACATTTAAAAATAAACTAGAGACAAGGTGTGGTGCATTGTATATGGACACCTTAAAACAAATCAGCATAAAGTGTCTGAGGTCTTCTGGTAAAAAATGTTGGCATAGTCAAGGATTGGAAATATCAATTGAGAAATAATGATTTTTCTTACTTAAACTGAAAAAAAGTTAATTGAATGATAAAGTTTACGAAGACAGCCAGAATCTATTCTAGTTATAAAATCAATATGTGGCTTAAAAGAAAGGGTCAAATCACTGACTCTGTCAAGGGGAGACCCATCCTAGAATAAATAAACAATTGTGAGGAATGTGAGAGATAGTCCCATACACATGTATTATATTCCTTCATCTGCTCACCTGGCCTGCAGGTTTTCCAGTTCCAGCCCTCTCTCTCTCTCCAGTTTGACCAGTGCCTCCTTGTGACGGCGGGTCTCTTGCTGTAGTTGCTCGTCAGCGTAAAGCTCCTGCTCCTTCAGCTGCTCCTCCAAAGCGTTGGCCCGATGCACCAGCTGAAGGTTCTCCTGCCGCAGCCGTGCATGCTGCTCCCCCGACGCCTCAGACTCCTTTTCCAACTCTGCGACTCGACGCTCGAGGAGGAGTACCTGAGAAAAGTCAAGGTTACATGGTCAAACTATAGTAAAATAAATCATCTACAATGCTTTCAATACAGATGTGATAACCGGTGTGTCTGTGTGTGAAGTATGAATGTGTGCAAACAGAGGGTTGTGGATTCCTTGACAGATGAGCACCCACCTTGTCTGTGATGTCATTGTCAGCGAGCTCCAGGATGTCCCGCGTCAAATCGCTCATCGTATCCAGAGTCATGGAGCTGTTCTGAAGGAGATGTCTGCACATAGGGAGAGAGCGAGAACTCAATCATCCTCTGTTCCAGCTAAAAACATACACTGGTACAACCATTCAAGGAATATGAACCCATCTCTTCTGAAACCAGAGCAACTTTTCTGCTTACCTTGCTACTTTCTTGCTGGACAGCCTCTTGCCAGAGCTGGATGAGGAGACAAAAACAACAGGAAAAATGGTCAGGAAGAGAGAAAGGATAGAGGAAAGAGACACCATCTCATGGTCTTTGTCCACCCCCCACCCAAAACCCCCTCTCCCTGGCAGCAGACACTAGAGCATGTAAAGTGGATACAAACACATCACAGCAATCTAAAACAAACATAGCAGCGTATATTAAATCATTAACGAGTGCTGATCCAGGATCTGTTTAGCTTGACAGATGGACATGTTACAGTATTACGGAAACATAAAGCACATATACTGTAATATATCATATGTAATACTTGTTATTTTAGGTCTTTTCAAATTCATTTTAAAGTTCAGCTTATGACCAGATACAATTACATTTTAGAATAACTTTGTTTCTGTAATGCGGCTACTAGTCACTAATCCTGAATCAGCAAACAGGTTCTTCTCCACTACCAGCAGTGACTTTTCCAAAACTCAAATAAAACATGAAGATGATGGCATGAATGACATGAAAAATACTGACATAGACATCACCCACCTGTGATAGCCAGGGTTACTGTTTCATGTTTCGACAGCCCCTTCACATGAACTAACACAAGTACAATCCATATCTTTAGGTTTCTATGTATGACTGGTAAATCATCAATGATGGAGAGAGACGGGCTACAACCATCTCAAAGGTGCATCGAAGCCTCTGAAATGCTGTGAATGAGCTTTTAAATGAGTAGATGCTTAAAAGAATGAGCACACAAAAACAGGATAAGATGGGTTAAAACAGGCTTGAAGAAGATACTCCATAGGTGAGAGAGTACACGCTGTAACACAACACACCATGTTGTTGCTGGTCCTAAATGTCATGCATATATTATGAGTACATGCATGATTGTGAATCTAGTCACTGCAAACACAATCGCACAGCAGACAGCAGTTGGGGGGAGTGGGACTGTGAATGACGTGTTACCTAGTCATCTCAAGGAAATTGAGGCGGGTGGAGAGGTCCTCGAGGCGACTTATTTGTTTGTGACACTGGCTACAGAAAAAGTCGAGCGCCTCCTCCCTGAGGAAGCTCTGAAAGCAGTCAGGGAGAGGAGCGGGTGCACTGGAGAGAAGGAAAAAACAACAGGGAGGAAGAGGAGGAGGAAGTGGTGAGCGACAGAGAAGAAGGGGGGTGCACTGAGGTGGGACAGATTCCCCTCCGAGGGTGCAAAGAGGGGGTGTGTTAGTGAAATCCAGGAGAGAGTTTGAGAGAGTCAGAGTGCGAGGGCTACAGTGGGAGGGAGACATGGAGCGGACTGCAGTGTGGGGCTTTGGTCTGATGTCTGGATAGTGTGAGGACACAAAACATTCAGAGGAGAAAAAAATGTGCTGATCGTCTGAAGTGTTGACCACATCCAACCTTTGGCATCTTTTCCTCACATAAAGGTCAAACTTAAGCTCAATAAATACAAACAACTTAAGCTCTCAAGCAAATAAAGGAAACACAGCTGATAATTTCATTGTTTGAGTCCGTACTCTCCCCTCACTTCACCTCTGCCAGCTGATTGTTCATTCAGCAAGCGAGTCCTGTCTGAATTATGCAACACGCTGGCAAACGTTCCTGTTTATGTAGGCAGAAACGAGGCAAGGCAGATTTCGAGCGAGTGTCACTTGATGGTCACACTCGCTGTCGTACTATTAAGCCATTTTTCTTCTGAGGGTGTGAAGGACGTCTTTGTTAAATAATGCCCAAAGTGGTGTGTGTGTGTGTTTTCTTTTGTACAGCAGGGACAGCAAAACTGTTATTGCATGTTGTCAAAGTGCTGTGATATGTAGCTAGATAAATGTGTGGGTGTGTGTAGGCAGCACTGATACATGCGCCAGTGATGAGCAGGACTGGCTCACAGTGACGCATGAGCGTGGGTGAAGTTTGTAGGATGCTGGGTTTTTTTTTCAGTGCACAACTAGTATTCCATTTAATCCATCACAGAGTGCATGTCATTTACTGATTGGATCATGTCTTTATTATTTAATGTTCCAAATTAACATTTCAGGATTCATAAGTAACCTGTTTATGTTTAATCCGTATTTAATAACTTCTCTCAATTTTAAGGTTTCCATTATAACTTAGTGTAAAATCACTGATTCATAAAAATATCAAGCAGGTTTAGCTGGCTAAATATTTCCTAAAAAACATCATAGACCGAAAGGCTTCACTTCGATTCAGCCAATCAAGTTATGCAGCTTTTTCAGTGTTACCAATATACTCCTGTATGCCCAGGGGCAAAGCTTGTTTGATACTCCTTGAGATGAAACATCATCCACCTTCTGTCTCTTGGAAAAGGCTTGGCGACAGATGTCAGCCTTAAAACCTAAACATTGTGATTGAATAAACTCCTACTCAAGAAACAGTTTTAGGGAAAGAATTTACCAAGCTTTATAAAAACCTTTGTAACAGTAAGGGTAAGTCTAATGGAAAGAAATGTGTATTTGCATCATATGTTTCGGCCTTCACAGAAGGAAAGGGCAGATAAGCACGGAAGGACGTCTTCAGATATTCCTTATCAAAAATCGTCCTTTGAAACAGAAACATTTACTCTGAGTGTAGTGAAACTTGCACAATACAGCTGAAAATGTTACAGTGTCACACCTCTTATCAGAAAAGGTTAGATAAGAAGACAAACTATTACATGAGCTGAAATGACTTCAGCCTGGCTGCTCACTGGTTCAGCTGTGAGCTGAGGACTGTGCGTACCTGGGAGAGAGCAGTGAGGAACCATTGACATGCTCGGCCGGCTGATCCAGTGGGGAGTCGGCCTCCCCCTCTGTCCCTTCCACGCTGCTCTCAAGCAGCAACTCTGATGTGCTGCTTTCCCCAAAGTCCTCAAAGTGCTCCTCCTCTCCACCGATGACGGTCACCAGCGAGTGGTTATGGAGCTCCGAGTTCAGGGAAAACCTGAGGGACATGCAAGAGTGGATTAGTGTGTTAGTGTTTGTGTGTGCTCACTTGTGTAAACAACAACAGTGCAGTTAATTTAAGGCCCGGGCCAGGAATAGAGGAAGGTGCCTGATTTAGATTAGATTAATGGACTTCAGTTTAGACAGCCACATAACCATACATTTAAGAAATAGCATCTCACAAACCAACATTTAAAGGGTGAAAAAACACATCTTGGTAACAATTTAAAAAAAAAACTGGCAACAGGTTGATGTGTTTTAGCCAGACACTTGGAATAGACTAGAGCCATCTGTAAATACAAAACAATCACAATTAATCTTTCCACTAGAAGAGCAGCAACCTGGACAAGTTGGACGATCACTTGTCTTCAAAGTTAATCTGGTAATGTCATTAATCCCAAAGGTTAATGCATGATGCCTTTGTGGTAATGCAAAGCACAGCGGGGACATCTGAGAATCGTGAGAGGAACTTTTGTTCAAAAACATTTCTGCCTTGTAACCTTACACAACTGAACCACAACCACCATGCTGGATCTGTACACTTTGATGTTAAGACAGAGTTCCAAGAGCTTTGGGTAAATGACCTGCAGTTCACAGGAAAGCTGGAAAACTGGTCTTTCCTGTTCCCACAGAGGAAGTGTTGAATGTCTTGAGCACACACAGACGGAGGATGTCTGAATCAGCAAAAACAAAAGAAGCTTGCAGTCTCAGCAAACCATGACAAAGCCCATTTTGCTCAGATCAATTAGTCCAATTAAAAACCAACATTTCACCTTTATTGTATTTCATGTGATCAGCTCACATCATACACAGTGACTCTAAACTCTACACTAACTTTAATTTAAAGTATTTGTTAACCTGACTATGTAGCTCACTGGACCATTCTGGTAACATGGAAACAGAGCCAACTTTTCATGTCACTCACCCCTTACTACTCGGTCCCATAGTGAGGTCCCTCACACAGAGAGACGGCGAAGAAAGAGAACGCATCTTGGAACGCCCTCCACTGCCCTGGCGTGAAAGCCGTGGAGCAACTGGAGTCAAAACTCCGGACAACCAGAGAGGAATCCTGAAGTTTCACAGGTTACAATGCTCTAAAATGGAAACGACGACTCGCCGCTGTGGAGGGAACAATAGCCTCTGAAAACAGCCAAAATCTGCGGCTCTAATGAGCGGCTAATCTTCACTTCCACATGACTGATGTTGCCTCGTCTGATGCCACCCGGCGGACTTGTCGCTGTACCAAAGAGGGTCGACTGTGAGTGGGTTAATCTGATTTGAGGCTAAGCAACGGCCAACAGACAGTACTGCTGACCGTCCGAGGGCCAAATGTGTGCGAGGACACGGGTAGGATAGAAGAGGGTGGGGGAGGCTAATCCTGTTAGATTCTTAATCCCTATTCCAGTGCATACTCCTGCCGAGTTAGTGCTGGCTAGGCTAACCAGGCAGAAGGAACAACCCTCAGATTACTTACTGACCTTTTTGTTGCATTTACTCACAGTCAGTGTTGATCTTTATTTTGTATTCGGACAGAGGTTTTACTTATCTCTGAGAGCAGACTGGTACTCACTGGAATTATAAAGTCTCAACAGAGATGTTGAAGATGATCAAACTCGAATGTTTTTGTAAACACACTGCCAGAAATAAGAGAATCTGAAGGTCCAACAGTCACACAGAGAGTGTTATTTTCCTGTCAGCAGCAGATTTAGCTGCACGATGGATAAGTGGAGAGAATCCGAAAAAGGGGAAAAAAACAACAACAAAAAAAAGTGCTCACTCAACACTTCCTGGAATTCAAGGCTCAACCTTGGAATGGGAAGTCCAACCACATCCATGTCAGGCAGAGCACCCCAATCCGTCATCAAGCCAGACAGACAGCTCACACAGTCAGCAGATGAGGCCTCAGATCTCGACACTTCCGCCCTTGTGTTTGCCCTGAATACTACCTCAACAGGAACATGCATGCATGGAGAAATAGAGCTCATCTGCAACAGCTACATGTCTTTTATAACAAAGGGGATTGTGTTCAAATAAAATCAGGGGGCTTACTTCTTTAACCAATTAAATGAAGAGACAGTGGATACATGATCAGGGCTTGATCCATGCCTGATAATACGTAGATACAATTTCCTCCTCAACTTACTTGTCTGAGGCAAATCATGGAACACAGACACACAGAGGCAGTTTGATACAGTCTGTCTTTTCTCAGTAATGTCAAATCTTACAAATGGAGTCCTCTGTGGTGATACTTTGTCATCTATGGTTGGATAAAACTTTTTTTTTTGTCAAACACACAAATCCATCTGAAAAGACTTTGTTCTTGTACTTCCCTCTTAAACAGTCAAAACCTAAAATTCATACAGTCCATATTGGAACAGATATCTAAGGAATGAAGAATTCTTCAGTGAGAATATAATTAAATTTCAATACTCAACCGAAACCTTGAACTCAGTTTATTACTGAAAGAGACTCAAATGTGTGACACTGCAGTGTGTCAATGCGAGACACTCACAACAGCCCTTTTGAAAGAGATTTGGAAAGCAAGAAAAGGACAACCATGAGCGTTCTGACTACAACAATGATCAAGCACTTTATCCAAACTATGAATAGAACCCAAGAGGTTCCTGGGAAAAGTATCAAGCTGTTCGGTTTTTGCAAAACAAAGAACAAAAAGCATTAAAAAGGGGTTTTACCTACTGTAATCAATAAAAGTGTTATAATAAAAAAAGTCATGAACAAAGTATTCAGTCTCTTTCCAGCCGAGAAAATGAAGATCCTCTCAGACAAACAACTTTGGTAAAGAATGGTGGAAGTGCTTTCAGTGTTCAAGGTCTCTGGCGCTCACACTGTTTGCATTTCAAGTTATCTCTGAAGGAGCTTTCCTGTTCAGCCGTACAGAAAACATTCACAGTCAGTGTCGCAGCAGAACCAGTGTTCCTTAAACTGCCTGTGACTACACATCGGTGTGTGTAAACTCCAGGAGCTGCATTTTATTAGTAATTATAAGACATACTAAATAAATCCTTTGTTTGACTTTGTCTTTACTGGTGTATATAATGGAACAAAAGACATGACTTTGATCAACTGGTGGCTTTCTAATGCCTGTCTGGTGACCCAAATAGCACCCAAGTGATCCAGCGCTGCGCATGCAAAACTCATGAGCACGTGATCTGTGTGAAAGGTTAGTGCGGGTACGTCCAGAGCCAACACTCATCTCAAGATCTGACACACATTTTCAGTAAATTCTGTAGCCAGCAGCGATTACGGGCAGCATTATGACGTTGATCTGGTTCTCATGTAAAGTGGATTACGATTTATTGCGTATGACAGGAGTCATTCAGGGTCACGGTGCCAAAACAAAAAGCAGAGGATGCATTTCTACGGAGAGTATATGAGAATTTCAGCCATGATTGACCTTCTGTTCATGAGTAAAAGTTTTACCAACCTATTTCCTCCGTCTTCGGGATCATGCAGGGTAGCCTCAATGCCGCTGTCGGTCTCCACATCTTCATGCATCTCAGGGGGTACAAGGGCCCCCGTGTCCTCATCAGTGAAGGTCTCACACTCGCTGTAAGTGCTCTCAGAGCCCAGGTACGCACTGTCCGTTACCTCATTTTGCTGCAGGAACAGAAACAAAACAAGGATGAGCACATCATAGAATGGCAATCAATCAGTAGACAGAGTTAAACATACTGATCTGGACTTTATATGAATGATAAACACTTACTTTGTCTTCTGGTTTAAATAAAAACAAGGCTCTCAAAAAATGTTGCTCCATTACAGCAAAAGTGCACATGTAAAGTATTAGTGTTAAACAAGCTGTTAACATCATTATAAAAGGTAACAAAAAAAAAAAACATAGATAATACATCAAAATATCAGAAATGTCATCAAATGAGGATTATTTAGAAAAAAAGCAGCCATTTCAAAGACAGTCTATTTTAAAGTGTCTAGGCTAGCCAGTAAGTACAGACAACCATTATGCAAACAACCAAACAAATCATAGAGCATAAACAGACTTCAGAGACAGACTGCTGCGACTCAGATGGCTGTTCCAAGCTAAACCTGCTGCATCAACACCTCTTAGCAACAAGTTCAAACAAAACGAGCCAGCTTTAAGGCTCTCCAAGAGACTAACACAAAACTCATATTCAAAACAGAGGATCTAAAGCTTTCGCAACAAGACATACATTATCAGGTATCAGAGCTGTGAAGCAATCAAGAAGACAAGACAGGTGCGTCACATTTGAAGGACTTTCATACCGTTATAAAAGAAGCGTCGGGAGGAGCCGGGCCCAGAGGGCTATCCACCATGCCCAGAACCATTCTCTCTGCCCGGACTCACACACAGGGAAGCTGGCCTGCCATGAGAGCCTCCTCTTAACTCATACTAATGCTTCCTCTCTTGCATTCCCAGAGGGTGAGGGCAAGTTTGGAAAAAATTGAAAATACTGTGACACCTCGTTCAGCTCCACTGGGTGGTCAGAGGGGAGGAGACAAAGTCCAAAGAGTAGCAGAAGAGTAATGCTCAATCAGCCAGCGTTCTGAGAGATAGACGTGAGTTAAAGCACCACCGATCAGCTGAAGAACAGTTTAATCTTTCCTGGCTCCTGGGAGCTTCACTGCCTGGAACAAGGGACTGAATAAATCATTAAACTATGTTCTACATGTTGTAGACTGGACAGTGAACGAGGGCTATACATCAAAGCAGCCTGTCGTAACTGTCTAACTGTTTGACAGTGGAAAACTAACATGCTGTCATTTTACTGAATGTGACAATTTCTATTTCTACTCAAAACATGAAATGTGAAAGTAAGCAACAGCAGAAAATATATAGAAAAGGAAAAAACGGGGCATATGGGGCGTTGCTTTTCTCTTATGCCAGGCCTCAGCTGAATAGCCTCACCTTGCCTGTTTTGAGAGTAAACAGGGCTAGAACAGCGCTGCCATTGAGAGAGAGGAACCCTTTTCTGCCAGAAACCAGAGGGGGAAAAAACAAGGCCATGGACACAGGTGTGGCAAGTACTTCAAACATAAACACAAACTTCCCCACAACTCTGCCACGGGCTTCCAGTAAAGTGTAAAGACACTTCATCAATCACCTGAAATTAAATGTTGTTGTTTCAGAATCACAGCTACTTTCTAGCATCAAACAAATCCATGTTGTTGAGGAGGATATTTTGAGTTTTATTTGTAATATAAATTAAAAAAAATAAGATAAAAAGTCTTGTACACAACAAGAGCAAACAGCATTACAACTCTGTAGTTAACTGAATCCTTCATAATAGCATTTTCAACACAACAGGGTACACCTATCTTAAGAACAGTGTACCATATTTTTCAGATTTATAAGCATTTACTGTAAATTCTGTTGTCATGATTTCACTCTTTACTTTATTTTGCTCCATTGACTTTGATACACAAATGGTCTCTTGTGTCAATAAGGCCTCCACTGTGCTGTGCAGCTTTGGTACAGTCAATAAGCCCAGTGATACTCCGATGTTATGTTATCTTCATTAGCATAAGATTAACTGGTCTCAATTTAAAAAAAACATAGGGATACAATACTTGGAATGTTTTTCTATCAATGGATTTGGAATGAATGTTTGCATTTATAACTCAATAATCAACTTGTGAAGCCTGTAGTAAAATGGTATGAAGCAGAGTGAATCCATTTGTACTTCGGTACACGGGCCTGCACTTCTAAACCCCTCCAAAAGAGGGTGCTGACACAGTGTCATTTGCAGCTGCTAAAACAACAGTTAGAGTCCTGCAGTGCCAGAAGTGCACACAATAGCAGAAACACTTCAATTTTGCGGAGGCCAGCAACAATGATGGTTAAATATACAAGTTCGGTGCACAAGACAAGACAGGAATTCCAGATATGCTGACCACAACTGTAAAAACACACAAATGTAAAAAAAAAAAAAAAACTCAGCTCACATTCCAGCTAATTCAATATTTGTGAAAGAATACTGAAAAGCATAGCCTGCCAGATGCTATTTAGTGTCAGCCAAACCGGGGGGTTGAGTCTGTGGAACGTTCACAGAGAGGTAATGATAGGTCTGCAAGCCACTTTGTGAATTACAGAGGGAAGAGTGAGAGTGCACATTGAGTTCAGACTGTGTCCTCCACCATGTGCTGCTTGTGTGCACCGACACAACAACTTGACCTTATACACTTCTACAGAGAGTCTAAGCCTCTTGTGTGGCGCCTCACCTCGTCGTACTCCTCAGGACAGCCCACAGCTCCATCCCCCGGACTGTAGTTTACATTGTAGAGCTGCGGCTCTGGACCTGCAGATATAAGAGGGAGAAGAAAACTTCAATGTGTGCAGGGTAAACACTTAAAGTCAAACAGCAGGGGAGGATCAACAAACAAAAGGCTGGAGTGCATGTTGCAGGAGCATCCATGTGCAAACAAACTAGCTTTTTTATAGCTTAAGAGGTCACAGCAGGTTAAGTTAATGGTTTATTCAAATGTATGAAACATGTGACTTCAATTCTACAATCGACATTTAACATTTCAATGACAGACAAGATTTAATCACCAAATAAGCATCAACATTTTGAAGTGCACAATCTGCAGTAAGCTTTCCAGGAACTGTGAGATGTTTTTTTAAGGATGGGCCAGTGATCTTAGATATTACACTACTTGTGTCCTAGTTTCTGGTTAATTTGTTTAAATGTTAGCTAAAATGTCGAGAAAACACATATAGAAGAGCGGTGAGGTCAGCAGTGTGGCCTTCTGGGTCTGTAAATGACCTTATTATGTATGAGACTTGACAAAGTAAATTGATATATAGTATGAAAAATCTCATTTTATCAGTCACCAGGATACAAACATGAGCTCATTCATAACAATGAAACTTTATCAACAGTATGTGTGTTTAAAGCAGTGCATTCTATACTTTAAGGAACAAAGAGGACTCCACTGTGAACATACTGATGTTTAATAATGGTGAGGGACAACATAATATTTCTGTCCACACTGTATTTGTTTAACCACGCACCAGCACATTTAAGAGCTTGTGTCCTAGCTGCCCTACTTTGGCATATTTACAATCAGCAATCTAAGCGTGATGTGACCATAAACATTATGTAACATTTAAAGTCTCATTTAAAGGGCTACACGCTGCCATGTAATAAGGGCTATGAGCTAAATAAAACAATAAAAAGGGACAACGAGTGACCATTCAAATTTGTCAATACAACCTGTTTTCAAAGCACCTGCAATGTAACCCGAGAAGTGCAAACAAGACAAAGTCCCATCAGCCACTACGGCTTCTGTATCTAGTAAACAGAGTCGTGAATAGCACCCTACTGAGAGAATGGAGCACACACAGAGTGCTCCAGTAGACTCCAGAGGGGGTTTGAGCCCTCCAGTCTTACATAACTGCACTGTTCTTGATGACTTGTACACATAGCAGACCATTTAAGAGAAAGGAGTCTGCACCCAAAGGGAGAAGGGAGAAGCTGGCTTCTGTTGGAGCAACACACCTGCAGTCTCTTGGCGTATTGTCAAAATATCAGACGCAAATATTTTCTGTTGTAGTTCCAGACATGCCATAGAAACTACAGGGGCCAAGGCATTTCCATGGCCTGCAGGCCTGTCTTTATTAAAAAATGTATCTAGCCAGTAACAAGCAGTGCAGCAATGAAGCGGAAAAGAAAGTTCAATAAAAGTTTATATTGGAACCTGTTATGAGCTGAAGGAGCAGGGTTTGCACTATGACTACAGTAGAGGTGCTGGCAACTGGCAACCGTGACAGAGAACAAGACATGGACCTAGTTGATCTGAAGGTCAATGTTTTATTTGCAAAGTGTTAAAAAAACTGAACTCCAGCTTTACAAGCAGAGTGGAATTTTGTCAGAAGTGTGTGAGAAGCTGGGAAATTTAAAGTAGAGGTCTGATCTTCACACACTGATGGAAACTGAGATTCATTCCCCACATTGCTGATTACACAGAAACTAGTGGAGAATGGGAGGGAAATTGGAGTAACGGGAACATGGGACGGTGATCCTTGACCAGATTCTGAACCGTGACATAAGGGTTACCTGATATGTGCATGAACAAACCAAGAGCTACTACTTAGACTACATCTACTGTCTATTGACCACATTAACACGGTGGTCAGGGTGGGAAGCTGAAATGTTGGTTTTATAAGGAGAAAGATGTATAGCAGTCCACATTACCCAGAAGCACATTTGATCATCCTATAGTGAAGACATCACAGGAAAATGTTAACAAGTGTCTCAGTTTGCTATGAACTAGAATCAGCCATTAAACTACATTTTGTTGTTGATTTTTACTTTACAGAAAAGCATCGTTTGTTCAGAACAAATTGTCAATAGATGCCTTATGCCAGTACAGGCCGATATGTTTTTCTCTCAATCTGGCTTAACAACACAGCTTTGCAATGAGTGACAGGAAGTGGAAAACAAGGGAGAAAGAGAGAGGACAGTGGCTAAGAGAGAGGACAGTAAATTATTTAAGTGGACTCTGCTAAAAACCTTGTCGCTCTGCCGTTCCCGCTTTGAAACCTTGCCAGTAACCCCATGTGTGTGTGCATCTCATGCTTTCCAGTGCATGACTTATTAATGCCCGGAGTAACCCGAGCTGTGCAACCCAGAAAGCCGAGAGAAAAGTACAACTAATCAATAGGCAGGGTGGACTGAGGATTTAGGCGCCTTACTGCTGTGACATCACCTTGACCTGTGCGTCATGTCAAGACCACTGAAATGTTGTGTAAGCTGCTGAAGAGCTGAAAGTCTTTATAATGATGTCATTGTTTCAATCCATCATAAAGAAAAAAAAGGAGATACTGAATATGTCACCACAACCTACAGCAGGCTTTAAAAGTGGAGCAGGAGGGCAGCACAACGGTTTAAGTGAGAATAACAGTCCAGTTACAAAGAATTTGGGTCCGCCTTAAAAATCTTTCACCTCAGCTGAGCGATGAATGTGAAACATACTGTGTTGACTACAATATTTGGCACCGTGGGGAATTCTGAGAGATGGAGCCAGATGCTCGAGACTCAATGTAAGTACAGGAATTTGACGCTGAGGCAATTTGTTTGGGTTTTTTTTAACAGGAGAATTAGGTTAATGACAAGTTAGCCAAAATGACCGGTGGATAAAAAACAAGATCAGAAATAGATTAGAAAAGGAGTCTGCCATGCATGTATCAAAGCTTTCTATTGTTGACCCAGGTATCAATATGTCTGATAGAAATGGGGACAAAAAGTTGGCCAGAATATTTTTAGAATCTAGGTTTTGTAAATGATTACATGTAGAACCCCCAAGAGACAGACGTCCACAAAAAGAGGTAAAGAGTTTAAAGGATAGGATAGGATAGGATAGGATAATACTTTTTTGATCCCCAGAGGGGAAATTCGGGCATTGCAGCAGCAAGACAAAGGGAAAACAAAGTCAAGTTTTGTTTAATAGATGGCATAGCAGGTCTTATATAAAAGATTAAAATCACAAGCGTGTTAACAAAGTGCCTCTAACAACTCACCTCCATTGCTAATGGCAGAGATTCCTCGGTGGAAGTCCTCAAAGCTGATCACTCCGAGGCCACTGGGATCCAAAAACTTGGTCAAATCCTTCACCTGAAAGACAAATGTAACACAACATTCAAATCTAATTTCATCAAGGAAACACATGAAAACATGTCTGGGTGCTTCAAGATGACATCATTAGTGATGAAGGGGGAACTTTTGCACACATGTGGGCTAACAACTAGACTGTGATGTTTGGATACAATGGTACAGCACACTGAGCCTGAACTACTACATCTGAACTCTAGTTACTTTGAACTACCACAAACTCAACTTTGAGGTCATTTGACTCACATGACAGTTTTATGTAAAGATTTTTTGTTTACAGGAGCAAAAAAAAGTCACCAATAAAAAACAACTCCAGAGGGGAATCTTGCAGACAAAGCAAATGTGAGTTTACAAGTGTACAAAGGGTACATTCATTATTGTCTTTGATATGACAAAGAAGAAGAAAATGTTACTCAAAGCTTTACAGGTGCAGACAAAGTGTTCTCGCCACACAGACACTTTTTGAATGAATAGATTAGGTGTGTGGTGTGGAATCTTTAAAAATATCATCTTACATTCATCTTCAGGATTCATAAAATACAAAGGCGAGTTACCCTACAACAGAAAGGTTTTCATTCTAAAAATGCCAAAAATGCATGCACGTCTATGACATGAAGCACTTGATCCTACTGTGCACAGAAATGTTGCTGCAAGTGTTAAACAGGTTACGTAAGTGCAGCTGCATGCTGTATATTCCTACAGTCGGTAACCTGGCAACAGGAGGATGTGTGATTCTGTAACAACAGGACCTCCGAGAATAAAAACACAACAGTGCACATTGGATCTGCTAAAAACTGACTGATTTCTATAGTTTGTTCAAATCTAGTCTGATCTGTTCTGAGAGCCTTCACTTAAATTCCTGGCACATTGGCCCAGTTAAAGCTTTCAAATCTACTGTACTTAACTAGTTTCCAAGGACCTGCAAACTTTAGATGGTGGCTTTTCAGAGGCGCCACGCAATTAAAATCTATTTACACAAATAATAGACTAAGGCAAATGTCAACCATCACACTAATTGACTGAACCCGTTATTACAGTGTAATTTCAGGCGTGTATCACTGACAAAATTAGCTGGGAGGGATCCTGAGAGTATGTTGGCTGAGGTTTCTGTGGCCTCAGCTCAATATTCCTCAAGAAAGTGAGCGCACAATGTGAACATGGTCATTTTACGGGGACTTTTCGTTCTGTGTGTGGCTTCTTTTTTATATCGGTTACACATGAAAACAAGCTGATCTGCTTAGCAATGCTGAGCTGTGAGTCAAGAGGCTGAGAAGGCTGAAACTGCTAATAAACCTGAGTAGCTTATGATCTGCGTTTGGTGAATTAAAGCCAGCTGTACTTGGGGAGAGGAGGGGAGAAGGCTCATCACCCTCAATGGTGGTTAACACAGCAGTGCTAAGTTTAGGTTCATCCCACGCCTACCTCCTCTGCGATGCTTTCCATGAACTAAATTTGCCTGGTAGGTTGAAGAAGAGTTGGTAAAGATTGAACTCTGAATGATCAAAGCTGTTGAATTTTTTTTTTCTGTGGTTTGTAGGAGGCGTTTGAATACAGTGTTAATTTTCCTGTTTCACATTTGAGCATGATCGCTCACATGTTCCATGCAGCTCTGCAGAAACACCTCTGCTGCTGGGCGAGGTGAGAAAACTGTGGGGAATTAACCATGAGTGTCTGTGGCCCTAACAACATTTTTACATAACTATTATAATAAGTGGTGGATTACTCTTGGTCATTACATTTGCAGTGAGAGGATGGAACAATGTATAACAATAAGCGACCGCTGAACAGGCTTGATTTAACACGGACAGATAAAGCAACCAGAGCAATATAAATGCACTACACTGAGGAAGCTATCCATGGCCTACATCAGAGTTGTTAAGCTTCTGCAGCAGTGCCAGGCCCCTCAGGTCTTGTGAGTAGAGTCTGTTAGCTATTCCTAGGTCTAACCTAAAACATAAAAAAGATGAATGGGATTTCATTTCAGTTGTGGTTTGTCCCAACTGGAAATTAGTTTTTTCATTTGAATGAATGTTGTTGGGAAAACTTTTTTCCCTTTTTAGAATTTTTTCAGCTGAATTTGATTTGGCTGATCAATATGAAGATTTTCTACATCTACAATTACCCTTAACACACAGTATTATCATTTTGGAGTAGAAATTTAAAGACTGTCAGGCGAGTTCTTTCGTAGTGTTTCAAATTATCATATATTAATAATAATATTATAATATTTCAAGCAAAGCAAAAAGCAATGAATCAAGCAAACTAATCAGCTAACATTAGCAGCAGCTCAGTTCGCAGCCCCCCGAACAAAGCCCTGATGTAAGACCATCATGGACAGACAGATTTTTTTTTTACTGCTTTATTCAGTCTTTTACCAATCTTAGTAACCTCATCTGTTTTCTAAATAAGACATCTGTGGATAACTCTTGGTGGAAATCTTGTAAATAATCGACACTGTGGGAGAATTAACATAAAACCAGTTGAGCAACAAGAAATACGCAAGTGGCCGCTCAGCTTGCAGCCCCTTCCGACGTCTGGTGTCTGTCAAAGAGTGTTGGAGAAACACAGATTTTTAACATCAAACTTCTTCCTCCAGTGTTGTTAATCATAAGTTATGTTTGTTTTAGAGGAGGAGACCGGGGAATAATAAAGCCCTCAGTAAACAAACATACAGCTAGTGTAGCTTTATAACTTGGTTGGGTAAATGAACAGCTTTGCTCTGGGTGCAACGACGCAGCTTAAAAACTAAAGTGCAGACATTCAACATATTCATGCACATCTTTTTCATACTGAACTTTTAAATTTTTTAAAACTATTTCTAGCTTTTAAACATGTGCTAATAATTCTAGCCCTCGTTTTAAAAAAGTAATTCAAAGTATTGTCTTTAATATTTTATGTTATGTAATCATTTGCATTGTTACATGTAACCAGCACAGCCTTGAGAGACAGCGGTAGGGCAGATAACGACCAAATTCAAACGAAGCCCTGTCAGGCTCTGTGGTTTTTCTGTCTCCTCTATTTGTGTCTAATCAGTGCCGGGGCACGCCTGACCGCCTCCACAAAGTCTGCTGCTGTGAATAACCCCATAGAGAAGAATACCCTTTGGTACGAGACTTTCCTGGAGGGGATTTCATGATCGCTTCTAAACAAAACCCTGATCATGTGCCTAGCGGGTTGGCATAAGATGACTTAAAAAAAGGGAGAATGATCTTTGGACATAAAACATTAACACACACAAAAGTGAACTCAAGAGAGGGGACGTTTTAGGGCATGGGACATTCCATTGTGGATTAGAGGGGCAGCACATAAAAGCAGCGGGTGAGGGGAGGGATACTGGCTAAAGTAGGGTTTGGACGGTCAACTGATGACAGAGACACAGCCACAATAGAGTCCGGTGAGGCTTTTGTGTAGAATCAGGGTCAAAACCAGAAAGGGAAACCAGTGATTGGTGGTTAGCGAGATCTTTTGAACAGAATTTCTAGATGACAAGTGCCTGCTGGCTATTTTGATACATTTTATTTTCAAGAAGGTAGAGTAGTACCTTAATAAAAGCAGGTCAGCATTAACTTCTCACAATGTTCTGAACAGTAGAGTAAAATACAAAAGGTTTAGACTTCCATCTGAAACTTGTTCTGTTGTAAAAGATGCCCCCCCCCTTCAAGAAAATAGTAGTGGCAGCCCTTTAATTACCATGCAAAGCTGGTCTTCATAGGGAACATGGCTAATTTAATTCAAAATGACTAAACATTTGTTTGCCCTTTAAAGAAGTCCAAAAGTTGACATTCAACAGCCTGCATTTTGTTTTCTGCAATACATTAAATGTCATCAAACATTATATCATAAAGCTGGTATTAAAACAACACACAATGAAGTGTGTGTACGAACACTGTTGCTATCATATCTGGGAAATATTCTGGAAGCAACATTTGCATGCCAAGTATACAGCTAAGCATACAAGCTCCAACTGATCATGCATGCAAATACCTCATGAATACCTTCCTACTGTCTCTTGACAGGTCGCCAGGATGTTTGATGACTAGTTCAGGATAATACACATGTTGGCCTGCTTATAGCCCACAATGTTTTATTTGACAATTCAAGCACACATACAAAATCCCAATAAAGACTGGCTGGTCTCATAGTCTTGCAGAATTGTGTAAAATAATATGTAAAACTTGAAGAGACAATAAAAAAAATGACATAAAATGAAACAATTGTGTTTTTTAGGGATGCCTTTGTCAAGTATGACCTAATTGCTCATTGTTCTGTTTAACCAGCCTCTGAAATACTTGTGTTACCAACATGGTTTACAGTAGAATTGCACTAATCTGAGCCGCCCAGGCATGGAGGTTATTCAAACCACTTTTATCTCCAGAAACACAAGGACATATCAGGGCAAAGCTTATTCAAATACAAAAAGCACACACATTTCAATCCGATATGAGAAGAGTGGGCCATTAGCTACCTCAGCCAAGAGACAATCAGCACTCATAAAGCGGCCTACAGCAGCCTTGACTTTCCCACAGATCCTTGAGTTTAGTTTATGAATGCAAATCCACTTAAAGGTTACATCCATTATGTAACATTCCCCAAATTCTGAAGATAAGTCTGTCTGTTGCCTGCTTACCTGTTGTAAATGTGCGTAAAATGTTGCCAAAACTTATTTCTCAATATTTCTCTCTGATCACAAAAAAAGGAGTTTCTTGTAAAGGCACAAATGAGCTCCTGCAGATCCTGGAAACAAGATATTTGAAGGCTGAACACCAAGACGGGCGCAAAACTATTAAATTTGCACAATTGAGTAAGAGGTCCAAGGAAAACCTTTAAGGAACAGACATCCAAAAGAAACTGTTGGAAAGTGTAAGAGGAGAACTCCACCAGATACCAAAGAGGACAGAACAACATTGAAGCAGACCACACCTATTAAATAAATCAACTCCCAGTGTCATGTAAATTTATCACCTTTAGCCCTGCCTAGTACAACAACAGGTGAAAAGAAGACTTAAATTAAACTAATGTGGTTACATTTCGCCCTTTCTGCCCTTAAACACAAGGTCGAGGGCCATTTAGTGGAAGGCCCCCAAAACCCATGGAGTCCCTCTGACTCAGGAAAATACATTTTACTCCTAATCCTTCACTGTTCCCTGCCTGGGAATCCACAGATACTAACGGCCAGACAGAGGACAGATTGGGGGCAATAGAGGCGCTTTGAACAGGGAGTGAAGGGATTAAACAGCATTAGTGAGCCTGCATCACTCTGCGTGAGTGCTGAGTACCAACAAGTTCCCATTCTCACCAAACCCAATTTTAAAAGTCTAACAGAAAGAGTTTCAATCAAACTGGGAAATATGTAAAGCTAAATCAACTTAACCAACTAAATGACACAAGATTTATAGAGATGATCATAAATAGAGGCCAGGAAATGAGTTGAAAAGACATCTTATGTATTCTCATTTGGCCACATTTGACTGTATACTTCAGTTAATGTTCTTCTTAGATTACATCTTGGTTTGTTGTATCCACCCTCTTACTGTTATTTGCAAATGTGATCACTTTTTTACCTGCTCTTTTGTAATCTTAAAAGACAAAGAGTAAGGTATTTTACCTGCTTTTTGTTAAGTATCTCGAGATAACACTTGTTATGAGTTGATGCTACAAATAAAAATCGATGATTGATTGACTGATTGATAACTTGCTTAAGCTCAGTTCTTGGAAACTTTAGGAGGGAAGACGTACAGATAAGCACATCAGACAGGAAAAGAAACTGATGTAATTTCCACTCAAACGTTATTCAGACCAAAACAAAGAAGAAACCAAAACCTAAAACATCAAAACAGTACTCAAAGGGTAACCTAGATAGCAGTTTAAACTTTACACATCGAAAAAAAACAATGAGAAATTCTGATGAGCCCATCAATTACATTTTAATCAATTGAAGTCACTCACATCTGTATGAATTGTTCCTTATTCAATTTCTTGCTAGAAATTGGATAACTTTTTGCATAATGTGCTATGCCTGTAGCACAACACCATATGCAACAAATGGGTGATGGTCATGGGTGGAGAGAGACAGACGCATCAGCCATTTCACAGGAGATTATCCCTAAACCACGGGATATGCAAATGATGAAGATGGGTGTTTGTCATTTGACATATGGAGGACTGCCAGGCCTGACAGAATTCATTACAGCCAATATGGTTAGCTGGACTTATCTCTAAATCCCAGCTCTACCACACTCACAAAATGTAGATGACAAACTAATCCAGGCACAGTTTAAAGATGCTGTGGTATTAGCCAAATCTATCACACCCAAAGGCAGGAAATGCATTAACTAGCAGCTGAAGAGACTATATTTGGTAATTTAAATACACATTGATTTAAAACTAATGTGTCCAAATTAGATCTTTTTAACAAGTAGAACTAGGGACAGCAAAGTGAAGTCAGCCAGATGGATTTCAGCTGATTGAATTATGCAGGCTTTTTGCACAGAACCCTCAGAGGTTCAGCAGAAAATCAATAATAAATCATTTACATTTATGGAGCTTTATATAGTTTTACACAGAACTTTACTCAGCATGCATTACCAAGTAGCTGCAAGCTCAAACCAAGGCATTAAAAAGGAAAAATAAGGCGTCTCACCTGATCGGCGCCATAGGCAGCAGCAAACTCCATAAACTCCTCAATTCGAACAAAGCCATCTCCATCTTGGTCCAAAGCATCGAACACAGCTTTTAGCGGGGAGACCTGTTCCTCCCTCGAGTTCACAGCTGAGACCATCGGCAGTGAGTCATCTCCCACCATCTTAGAGAGGGAAATCGTCTCCACCGTTTGCTCACTAGTCCACCCCCCTTCCCGAGAAGAAGAGTGTAAGTCCTGAACTGAAAAACCAAAAGAAGCCACATCATGACAGTCTGGCCCTTCGAGCTGGTTAGTGTCTGTCAACCGCTCCTCTTCCCTCTGTTCTGGTGTCGGATCGGGATCACTTCCACCCTGTAAGCCATCAAGTGGATTCAAGTCCCAAGTGTCCTCATTGTGGACCTCATCAACAGTCAAGCACGGGTCCAAAGCCATCGTCTCATTCCCCTGAGCACAAACTTTTTCTTCCATCAAATCCTTAGACTCACTTTCCACAGAAAAACTCTCACTGGTGAAATCACCCTGTGTGAAAGCATCTTCAGCCTGAGGCAAAGTCAGTGATGAACCCAGAGCACATGAGTCATTCTCCCTTTGTTGCTGTGAAGTCAGATCAATAATTTTGGCAGTTCCTTCATGTTCCACCTGTGAATCCTCTGGTGATAAATGTAAAGGCTCACCTGTGCAGATAACAGAAGGAGGACCGACAGGGCACAGACTCACATTTCCTTCACATTCTGGCACCTCTAAATCCAACAAAGGCACAGATCCCTGTAAAGACTCCAGTGGTGTGCTGATGTTGTTATGCGGGAGGCAGCTCTCAGGAAAACCTTGGAGAGTAGTGCTACAGGTAATAGGCAGATCAGTCACTTGATCGGGGCATAAACCTTTGTCTCCAGTTTCAGGTGACAAAGTCTCCCTGCTCTGCGAGGGAGGGGGACATGCCTGCTCCTCTGGTGAAAGGTGTACCAGCTCCTCACTTACAACCTGTGGGTTCGACTCACCTGAGGACTCAGGGGGGAGATATGAGAGTTCATTTGAGAGGAGGTCTACCAACAAAAATGTATCCACTGGATTTGTATCAGAAGTCTTTGATGGAATGACCGGATCCTCCTGCGTTAGGCCGAGTTCCTCACTGACAGAGTTATCTCTAACCATATCAGTGAGTTGGGGAGAAAATAGCCATTTCAAAGTTTCACTTGGTCCATCAGTTTTGTCTGTAAAGGAAAATCCATCTAGTTGAGTGCTAAGGAAGGATGCTTGAGAAACAGTTGATTTGTGTCCTTCAAAATGAAAATTTCCACAAGAAAAATCAGAGATGTTTATAAGTTCGTCCAATTCTGGTGGCTTCCCTCCTTCACTTTGAGAGGACGTTTGATCCTGGTCCCCTTTCCTGAAACCCAAACTTGTCTGGCCACTCTTGTTTGGGCAGAGCACACCTCCATTGTCTGAATCGTCCAGTGTGTTAAATCCTAGAGGAAATGGCTGTTCTGACTCCCACTGTGTGTGCCCCAAAGGGCCAGACACAACTGTTGCCTCCATTTAAATGAGCTACTCAACTTTTGCGGACTTGAGAAAGCTAGTGACGTTTTATCTCACGGCTGTCGTCAATATGCAATTGTTTAATTTTAATGCCATATTTTAATTGGCCCTGTGTGTCCTTGCTGAAGTCTTGAATTGATGCATTTTTGAGCACGGACATTTAAAAGATGCCTGCAGGTTTACCCATTTCAAACATCATGTTAGAGATAAAAAAAAAGCTGTGGTAGGTTTAAGACTATTTGTAAACCAAACCAGTCAGGAAACTGTTTTTTAAACAGCTTTAGTGGTTGCCTTCCACATCGCGACCAAAACGTTACCTTAATTCAAAATGCATATTGATCTCGTACCTGAACCGACTGGCTTACTGGTTTAAATGTGTTTTACTGGTTTAAATGTGTTTTACTGGTTTAAATGTGTTTTCACTTACTATGTCAGCCATGGTAAGCCCACTCTATGTTGTTGCCCAATGTGTCAGCTTCAGTAAATCCACCATCGACATCCTTTAGCTCGGCTTGAAAGCTTAAATATGACCGAAATAAGAGTCTTCAGACTCAACAGGCATTACCTACACATGACTCCACTTAAAACTGCAAAAATTAACACGTTATGTCACGACTGTTTGTCAACATTAGCTTTTCTTGGCCGATTATCTGATCCTATCCACACCAGGCTAATTTTATGAGATGCCGAAAATGGCAATGAAAAGGCGACGTGGTTACCAAACCTCTAGCTTTAACAATACACACCTCATTATGGGGTGGTTTACTTAATAAAACACCGGCTGTCAAACCCTCCTAATGATTTTTGGTTAACTCCTCCTTCGAGCATCCCACTCCTTCCTGTGCCAGGCAGGATGCTAACTGACTAGCTAGCGGAATTAGCCTATTAGCTAGCTTACACACCAAACAGCACAGCCTATATCTCTCGCCACTGTGTTAAATAAAATATTAGCTTTAAAGATAAACTGTCTGAGATGTGAATACTAAAACTGTCGCCTATGTGATAGTCCGAGACGAGTCTTCATTTCCAGCTTCAATCCACCTGTGTCACTAAGAAGCCAGGCCAGGCGAAGTGACGACACGAAACTCGTCTTTTCCTCTTCAAATCCCTCCGTTATTAACGTCTCAAAAAACACATCCGCCACAGCGCTCCTTGTCGGAACCAATTGTGAAACGAAAACGGCGATGAATAGTGTCAAAAAAGCTCCATCATTTGGCAGTCAGTACATTGATGTTGATCACAGACACCGAAAGCTCTCGCATCAGCATCAGCAATGTCCCCATCCTCCTCCACCTCCTCCTCCAGCCGCATACACACCACTGACGTTTCACGCAAGCGTACAAAACACCCCGCAGTATCACTGGCTTCATAGCAGACATCAGTTGGTACCTGGCTGGTACCTTGTGATTTGTTCACGTGCATAAAAGCATGTCTCATACACATTTCCCGCACTCTTACACTGTGATGTGATATTATGGTAAAGTAAGCACACAAAGGTTTCTGTTCAGCGAGGAGCTTTAAACTGTCTTTTTCACAGACGCTTCAGCGGGATTTTATTCATTAATGTCACATTCCAGCGCTGATATAAAATGAAATGTTATATAAAAACTAATATGACAACTTGAGAATTCAAGTGGATAGAGGTTTGTTATTTGGATAGTAGTCTAAAGATTATTGCAAAATATAGTTGTGGCGCCCTCATGCGTTTCACAGTGACATTTCTTTTACTTCAGGTTTGCTAAATTATTCTCCCTTAGAACAGATTTGACTCTCTCCAAAGATAGTTTTATGTATGTGATTGAGCCTAAAAAAATTCAAAGCAACAATATTTTGACCAAAAAGAGCCAGGAGAGAAAACGCTGACATTTTAAATATAAGAAATATGATTTAATTTGTCTGCCTTTTTTCAATCTCCATAGGAATCCTCATTTGTATCTATTTTCATAAAACCAATCTGCTCTTTCCTGCAGATACACTCCAAGAACCAAAAAACAGACAAATGAGTTGGAGTATTAAATGCAAACAGTAGTCAAGAAACGTTTATTACCTGACAAATATGACTCTAATACAAAACTACAAAATAAATGAGAGTTACTGGAAAATCAAATTTAATGGCATATGATAGACAGGACTGTACATGGTATGCATGATATTACACAGAAAATTAAAGGGTGACCTATAATCCCTGACTTGATATAGACTTTAAACATTGGAAAGAGTGTAAAATATATAATACAGTAAATTGTTAGGTGTAACTGTACATCTAGTATTCATTACTTCAGACACTTTTGTATCCAGACTTTACTTATCTCTTTTCTTTTCAGCTGACCAATAACCTGGAAGAAAATAGGAGAAACAAGTGAATAAATATGGGTTATAATGAATTAAACAGTCTCTTTCAGTACAAATCACATTCTCAGTCATACTGTTTCTCCAGACGGACTTCAAACTTGACCTCCTCCTACACACCTTGGTCAGGAGGAGGACAGGAGAGCCCCTGTTCAGAGTTTAGATTTAGAGGAGGCAATACCCAACAGCATGGAGACGTCATTGGGTGAGGTCAGCCATGCCCCGCCGTCAGCAACCAGGATGGCTCCGGTCACATAGGAGGAGGCTCGACTGGCCAAGAAGAGAACGCTGTGAGCCATCTCTGTCTTGTTGCCTGCTCGCTGCAGAGGAATGGAATGGAACGCACCAGCAGCCTCTCCTCTTGGACCACCTGAGTGATTAAAGAAAACAAAATACTTCAACAACCCCCTTCTTACGGATTAGAATTTAAACTATTAAATAACACATTTTAACTGAAATTACATCTTTTAGCCATCCATTGACTTTACTGTTCCACAACCATTTTCAATTTGTTGTCTATTTCTTCTACTTATCCAATGTTTGGGTTCACTACATCACTGTTTGATGTACTTTTTGCTTACATTTCTACAGAGCCCCTCAAGACTCAGGTAAGAATAAGTAAAAAGCTGTCAATCCTCACCAACAGATTTTATATTTCTGAGTAGTTACAAACTGTGGGCACAATTGACAAAACTGCACCCAAAGTGTGCAAATCCATGGGCACTGATATTAAACTTTGTGGATTTAGAAACCATGAGTACAGTTTTAGAAACTGTTTTTTTTTTAAATTGTATTACCTGAGCCTTCAGGGTACTTGTACTCGACCACTTCAACTATATTTTGACAACATTTATTAAATAATTCAACTTTTATTTCAAAATGTTTAACACTTTTTTTTTTAACTTTCCTTCACTACCACTATCTAATATTTTAACGGTTTAATCAAAACTTATTTAAAAACACTTTACATAGCAGCCTCTGCCATGAGTGTGTGTGCGTGGTGCTAATGGATGAATGTGACATGCAGTGCAAAAAAAGCACTACAAGCTCAAGTCCATGTACCATTAAACAGTTTCAAACATTTGGTCACTATACATCAAAATGTGATGTGAAGGGAAGACTATCAAAGAAATCTGAGTGTAGAAAAAGATGCGTTCATATGATTTGTTGTTTATCAACAAGCATAACAGTTTCTGAAAGGTTTCTGTATAATGTGAAATCTGCTGAAAGAAATGCATTTTTTATATATTGTTGCTATGAGTGACATAGCAAACTATACTTTAAATCCAGTTTAACTCCCGGGGGGTCACAGTGCCACCTAGTGGTCAGCCCAACAAACAAGCTAACAATAATGTTCTCCAACAGACTTTGTGTTAAATGTATAGACAACATTTGCCAGTTTGTCAATAAGGGTGCAAGACCTTACCCAGCCTACGGAAACCCTCAGTGCCAGAGATAGGACCTGGAGCCATAGTATTGACTCTAACTCCACTGGGCCCCCACTCCACAGCAAGGTGCTTCGTCATTGCGTCTGGTGAAAACAGAAACAACATTGTTTTATTCGATTCTCATTTTCTCTTTTATCATTGCACATTAAAAAATCTCTTACCATTTGCAGCCTTAGCAGAGCCAGCATGCACCTGGAGGGCCTGTCCTTTGTATCCAAGCGTTGCAGATATATTGACTATGTTGCCTCCATGACTCTACACACAAAAACACGGGGGAGGCTTAAAATCAGGGCGATAGGAAAATCCTTTTCATAGAACCGAGGGATAGGTTTTGATACAGTTAAGAGATGACGAGGCATTATGTCATTTGTGATCTTCACTGTCCTCTTACGGTGATCAGAGGGAATAGAAGAGCGTGAAACTTATTGAACAGAACCAATCAATAACTAACATTTATGTCATCATTTTTGTGCTAAGCTATAATAAACATCATACTCATAATGCTCCTTCCTTTAACTCTGATAGAAAATATACTCTACCTGGAACCACTTCTCATAAACCACCTTACTGGTGTTGAATGTTCCCATAGTGTCTATCTCCATCACTGTCTTGAAAGCATTGAAGGAGAGAGCAGAAGCCGGGCAGAGAAAGTTTCCAGCAGCATCTATCAACAACAACAAAAAGAAAACTCAATCAATCAATCAATTTTTATTTGTATAGCATCAACTCATAACAAGTATTATCTGGAGACACTTTACAAAAAGCAGGTAAAAGACCTTACTCATTGTTATGTTACAAAAAGCAGGTAAAAGACCTTACTTATTGTTATGTTACAAAAAGCAGGTAAAAGACCTTACTCATTGTTATGTTACAAAAAGCAGGTAAAAGACCTTACTTATTGTTATGTTACAAAAAGCAGGTAAAAGACCTTACTCATTGTTATGTTACAAAAAGCAGGTAAAAGACCTTACTTATTGTTATGTTACAAAAAGCAGGTAAAAGACCTTACTTATTGTTATGTTACAAAAAGCAGGTAAAAGACCTTACTTATTGTTATGTTATGTGTTGTTCTGGCAGGCCGTCAACCAAGGATCTCGAGGAGCCTAAGAGAACTCAAGAGCTCCCAGGAAAAAAAGGTGGTCAAACTGACTTTGATCAAAGGCCAGATGTTTGTACTCTGCTTTACGGAATGTTTTAAAAATGCATTATTAAATCAGAAATGTGTTCAGCAGCCTGAGCAGTTATGTAATACAGATCATCTTGCAAAGAAAAGTGCACTCAGTTTTGATAACTACAGTAATAATCTTGTAATGATGCAACAGTGTGTAAAAGGGACGAGGGGGCAAAGATAAAAGATAAGAATAGATGCAGTATCAGAGAAGTTAAAAATTAAACTGAAACCTTTCACACATAACCTTTGTTTACAGTGCAGAAAGGCTCATTCTCCCTTTATACATACATATATATTTACACCTGTTGACAGGTTGCATGGTGTAATAAAATAGTGTAAGGATGACTTGGCCTGTGCATCACAGCTCAGACACAGACTTATTTTAGTTGTGTTTTCAACAGGACACATACTGTTAACGAGGATGTCGATGCGGCCCAACTCTTTCAGTGTCTCATCCACAGCGGCTGTGATGCTCTCAGGCTGCCTCACATCAATACACAGAGGAAGACAGCGGCGCCCTGTCGCAGCACACAGCTTTTGAGCTGCCTAGAAAGACAAACAATCAAATCAAATGAGGCAAACATAATAATAATATATACTGTAGGAATGACATTATCTAGATTATCTAAGATTGTGAAAATGGTATGAAATGAAAAACCTCTTTAAGCTTGTCCAAGTTCCTGCTTGCAATCACTGTATCACAGCCATGCCTGACAGAAAAGAAATACAATAATGTAAAAAAGAAAATAGAGTATATATTTCTAAAGATTGCCTGCTTGAGTCTGACAGAGAGTCAAGGTGAGGGTCACAAGAAAGTCAAAATGGTAAAAAATCTGAAACACCATAACAAGTGTCTCTACTTGTTTTAATAAAAGATAAACTATTTCTGCCATTAGTGAATTATTAAACTATTTCTAATTTGTCACACAAGCAAAACTATGAAAGTCTTAA